TAGAGTCGGACACGACTGGACAGGGGAAACCTTTACCTTTACCTTTATCCTGTGCCTAAAGGTCTTCACTGTATGCTGTCTCCTAGGTGTGAGTGGTGCATTTTCAATTGGCCATAAGGCTGGTTTCATACTTTGTGAGGAAGAGAGAATAAATATAATAAAGACTTTATCATGTACTCATTTTTGCGTACAGGTAGTCCTCAGCTCAAGACTGGTTGCTTATTATTATTATTATTAATAATAATAATAATAATGTTGGAAGGGACCTTGGAGGTCATCTAGTCCAACTCCCTGCTCAGGCAGGAAACCCTATACCATTTCAGACAAATGGCTGTCCAGTTTCTCCTTAAAAACCTCCAGTGTTGGAGCATTCACCGCTTCTGGAGACAGGCAGGTTGTTCCACTGGTTAATTGTTCTAACTGTCAGAAAGTTTCTCCTTAGTTCTAGGTTACTTCTCTCCTTGATTAGTTTCCACCTGTTGCTTCTTGTCCTGCCCTCAGGTAGCTTGGAAAGTAGCTTAAGTCCCTCTTCTTTGTGGCAGCCCCTGAGATATTGGAACACTGCTATCATGTCCCCCCTCATCCTTCTTTTCGTTAAACTAGACATACCCAATTCCAGCAGCCGTTCCTTATATGCTTTAGCCTCCAGTCCCCTAATCATCTTTGTTGCTCTTCTCTGTACTCTTTCTAGAGTCTCAACATCTTTTTTACATCGCGGTGACCAAAACTGGTTTGCAGTCACGATGGCTGTCGTAAAACGTTGCAGGTCACCGCATTTCTGGCTCTTGGCAACCTGTCCACATTTAAAACTGGTTGCCAAGTGCCCTGTGATCGTGTGGTGGCCATTTGCAATCTTCACTGCCAGCTTCCTCAGAAAGTCATTGAGGAAACAAGCAGGGAAAGTCACAAGTGAAGAGGATTTGAGGTCCAGTCTTCCGGCACTCTGCAGGGAAGGAAACCCTCATGGGCACTGGAGGACTGGACCTCAAGTCTGGTGAAAGCACGTAGCAAACGCCATCATTCTCACAATTGTTTTCTTCAGTGGTGAGGGACAGGACCTGGCTCTCCTGGGTGTGATGGCTGCACCATGCTCTGGAGGTCTGGGTTGTCTCCCTCGCGCTTCAGTTAACAACCACAACTGGGAGAACCAGGATTGTGATTATTGAGCAAAGCGGTCATGTGGCATCTTGCTTAATAACCACTTTGTTCAAAAACCAAGATTCCAGGCCCACTTGTGGTTGCAAATGGAGGACTACTTGTAAAGCTAAATGTCCTCCTCTTGGCCCCTTGTCTTACTGCATGCTTCCTACTGTACTTTCTGAGAAGCACAATTTGATCAGTGTAAATGTAATTATAGGATGCACTGAGGAAACCTGTGATTCAAATCTTACCTCTGTAAGCCCTTTTGCAAATGATTATGAGGCAGCTTCTGATTCTACCAGATAAAGGGCACAGAGCAGTTTATCTTTTTAATATCTTTTTGTGATAAGCAAAACCTATAAAGAGCTTTTGGAAAAAAACAGGAAAGCTAAGAAATAGGAGATGATGTCTCAACCATTACAACCCAGGTAAAATTCCATAAAGGAGGCAGACCGATTGCACAAAAGACACTTCAAGAAACAACTTAAGATTTTATCTTTTATCTTTTATGAGTTGATAAGAGACTTGTTGAAGCCCTTACTCAGAGCTCTGACACACACTGACTACTGAAAGTCAAAATATATTGGTAACTAAATAGCTAAAGTCTGGCCAAATGTATTACTAATCACGAGATATGTAGAGCACCTTAGGGGGAAATTACTTGGGATTTTTCTAGCTGATTCTCTAGATATGTCAAACGATGAATGAACTGAAGGATGTAGCCATTGTAAGACACTCCTACAATGGCCAAATGTTAACTTAAATAGAAGAAATGTATAAGAGAATTTAAAGATCAGGATTCTGATGATCCCTAGTTCATCAGACAAGATGTATTGCAATATAACGATTACAAGAGTGGGTAAGAGGAGCAATGCCATACTTTCCTTTATTGAGATTTAATTTACCGGACCAAAACCATGGAAACTTAAAAGCTGATTTTGGGCTTGTCACCCTCTCTTAGCAAACCTCTGGTTTTTTTTTTTTTTTTTTTTTTGCAGTCATCACAATGAAGGTAAATCCCCATGTAAGCTGGCTTGAGCTTCTAAAAGGTGGAAGAGACAAGATCAGAAAAAGGAAAGGAGGCGAGGTTGTCGTGCAGGAATACAAGCTAATTTGAGGGCTAATCCACATGGAGCTCCATTTCCATCTGTCCTGTTTGCCATTGCTCGCTCCCTAGAGACTAAAATGGAAGATCTGTAACTTGAGCTGGCCAAGAATAAGGAGTGTATATCGGAGGTGGTGACCATTTGAAGCTGTATGCAACAAAATTTCATTTTGATGTATGCTGATTGGTGTACTTTCAAAGTGACAATAAAGTTATTATTATTATTAAATACAGGCTGGATAGAACTCTAATATTACTTACATCTAGTGCAGCTGTTAAGTTTCCCTGTAACATTTCCTCTTTAAACTGTAGTTTTCTCACACATACTGTAATAATAATAATAGTAGTAAAGTTGGAAGGGACCTTGGAGGTCATCTAGTCCAATCCCCTGCTCGGGCAGGAAACCCTACACCATTTCGGACAAATGGCTGTCCAGTCTCTTCTTAAAAACTTCCAGTGTTGGAGCATTTACTGCTTCTGGAGGCAAGCTGTTCCACTGATTAATTGTTCTCACTGTCAGGAAGTTTCTCCTTAGTTCTAGGTTGCTTCTCTCCTTGATTAGTTTCCACCCGTTGCTTCTTGTCCTGCCTTCAGGTGCTTTGGAAAATAGCTTAATTCCCTCTTCTTTATGGCAGCCCCTGAGATATTGGAATACTGCTATCATGTCCCCCCTTGTCCTTCTCTTCGTTAAACTAGACATACCCAGTTCTCGCAACCGTTCCTTATATGGCTTATATGGCTCCCTCCAACTATCATTCTTCTTTTAGGCTTTCTTTCGTTCTACTGTGTCTACAGTCCTGGCCCTAAAGTTCTTCAGTCCTGGAATTTCCCAGTTTGATTCATGCTGAGCCATAACATGGTTTGGTTAGGTTTTCTTTGGGATATTTGATTTAGTATGATATGTGAAGGTAGCCATTGTAGTTTGTAGACAGTGACTTACAGTATGATATTCTTATGTTTGGTTGCACAGTCAGACCGTTATTTAGACTGGTTTCGGCATTTGTATCCACCTATTGAGTCCTTCCTAAGGATCTGGGGTAGGCAAATGTGGTTATTTGATGGTGTTAAAGATATCGTCACAGGATGTATGATGTTCCAAGGAAAACAGCCTTTTGCAATTGACTGATGGTGATTTTTATCAATGCTCTTGTGTTCAAATGGTGCTCCAGATTTTTTGGGACATGTTGGTTCTATCTTTGTTTTTTTGTGTGTGATTTTTCACCAAGTTTTTTTTTATTCTGCTGTTTCGAGTACTGCAATGTCCAATTTCTTGTGGATAGTTCAGTGCACCATTGTTGCTACTTTGTCATGCCGCCGTTTATAGTCAGTCTGTGTGATCTTCTTGCAGCAACTACCCAGGTGTTCACTGTTTCTTAAGCTTCTTGGCAGAGACAGCATTTGCCATCTGTTGCTGTCTTCTCAATTCTGGCTTTGTATGAATTTGTTTTTAAGGCTTGGTCTTGTGCAACCGGAATTCACCCTTCTGTCTCTTTTCTTCAACTTTCCTGCTCTTAGCCATTATCAGGTCTTCTTGTTTTTGTTGTTAAAATGTGTATTATTATTAAAACATATATGCCATCTGTCCCTAAATAACTGTAGGTGGCTACAAATAAAAACACTAACAAGATTTTTAAAAATACAGTTGTGGACCTTGGCATTATACCTGAGCACATGTAATTTTTTTAAAAAAATCTCATTTGGTAAAATGTATTTAGGTTCATACTTCCCTGTATCCCTTTTCGGTCATCCGACTTTATTCTTTCACTCAGATGTACAGTGTACATTGCCCAAACAGACAACATTCATGACAAATACCCCCCCCCCGAAAGCAGGAATAGATTGTGTACAGTGTGTAATAATATTTATAATACATATATAAATGAAATAATAATTACTTTAACTTTAGTAGAATTTAATATCGCTCAGTATGATAGGCAGCAGTGTGTCTCTTATTCAGGGGCAGTGCCAAGGGCCTTTGAAGTTTTGCCTTCTGTAAAAAGATTTGGACTGATGAGGCTTCATCACAGAAGGCCCTCTGGATTTAGAGACCACCCTTCCTAAAGCATTGTAACTGACCACTTGTTGCAAGTGACAAATGCAGAAGGCAGGATTAAACATTATTTGAGTCACACAGAAATTAATTTCATGTGGGAAGACTCCTCCAAAACATAGGCACTCAGTCTATCTTGGGTTGGAAACAGCTGTGATCATTTCATTTTCTCTTGTTCTAGAGTAATTTATTTTCTGCCTGTTGTAATATAGATGGGCCAGTCTGTCAAATTAGTGACAGATGAATTAGTGCTCAACAAAATTTGTGAAGTGACTAGAGCAGGAGTAGGCAACCTTGGCTCTTTTATGACTCACGGACGTCAACTCCCAGAATTCCTGAGCCAGCATGGCTCAACATGGAAACCTCTCCCTTTCCCCTCAGCATGGCTGGCTCAGGAATTCTGGGAGTTGAAATCCATGAGTCATAAAAGAGCCAAGGTTGCCTACCCCTGGACTAGAGTGATGAAGAAGTACCAATCTTCCCATTCCCTGATGGGCTTTTGTGCCTTTAACAGTTGGATAGAAGACCAAACACCAACAAGATATGATTTTTTTTCTGAATAACAAGACGGAATAAGCAAAAACATCACGTACTGAAACTGGGCCTGCTTTACAGCTTAAGATATAGATATGTTGGATTCCAGCTTCCACGATGTTCATTATAATCTTTCGCTTGAGCAAAGCATCTATGTTATTTTGCTTGCAGGCTGTCTCGGGGAAGTTCACCCCTTTGGAGCAGTGGCTGTACTTTGATGCCTATGAATGCCTGCCTGAAGGGGAGCAGCTGACAGAGACAAACTGTGCCCCAGTAAGTAGAGTTACATTCTGTAGTTTGCCTCCCCCCCCCAAACTACTCAGGTCTGACCCACCACGATTCCGTTCAGAAAGGTTTCCACTAGTGGCTGTCAGAAACATTTTCATCTCTCTCTCTTCCCTGATGCTGAGTTCCATAAAGGCAGCCAACTAGACTTTCTGAGAATGCCCTTGAGAAATGGGGCTGGTTTCATTTTGCCTCCGGTCTGGAATATTCCTGTTCTAACGCTGGCATCTCCGTCTCTGACAGTGTGCTAGTCGCTACGATGGGCAGATTGCTGTCTTTGGGGCTGACTTCCAAAAACAACTTGGGAAGCAGAAGTATTTCCTGGTGAGTAAGGCATGCAACTCCTGTAGACCACATGAAACAACATTCTTTACTGCACACTAACTAGGTTCATTATAATGTGTGTATTTGGTTTGGGCAAATTATGCTGTGTGCTGTGTCCTATTTTTGTTGTCTGTTGTCTCTCCAGCTCTCATTTATTTTATCTTATCTTATCTGGGATGATACATCTACAGGTCTTCCAACTGACCTTTGTGGTTCCAATAATTAAAACAAAACTTTTTTTGATGAGCTAATTTCTCATGCAGGCCAGGAAACCACATTTTCACCCAGAAGCTGTTGAAAGAGAATGGATAAACTTTGGTGCATTTTCTTCCAGTTTTTCACAGCAGAGGGAGCATTTGATCGTTTTTAAGCCTGAAAGGGTGCACCAAAGGAAGAATTATTATTTTACTATGAGGCTTAGATTGTTCCTGCAGCTGTTACTGGTTTAGTGGGTTCTGGGTTTTTTTGTTTTTTGTTTTGGAGGGGTCGTGGTAAACCTATCATTTGCTGGCTGAACTGCTGCTGTAGATATCAGATTTTATCCTAATTAACAGATTCCTGATTATCAAAGAAAGACTACAGATGTTGAAACTATTCCCACTAGATAATGGAACAAAATTATTATAGCAAAGGCAATGAAGTCTTAAATTACAGCATATTGCTTTTTTGCAGATCTAAATTCAAGGATTTTTGGAAAATTCAGCATGGATCCCTAAGTATCAGGAAGGAAGCAAACAAGCTTAGAGGGATTGATATTGATCAAATGTCTAGCCTCCATGAGAATATTTTTGAAAAATAGACAGGGACCAAGATACACTCTTGCCAGATAGATTCACATTTTGCAAAATCTTTCCTTTTATTCTTTTGCATGACTGTTATTGAAGGGAGTGTGTGAGATCACCACTATAACAGGCTTTGTGCTGCTGAGTCACATTCTGGTAATCCTGGACTTCACAGCCATTTTAGAAACGGCTGATAAATAGTTGATTTATAAGATAAAAGAGGGTTGGGTTGACATTGCATCCCGGTTTTACTCCTTTTTCTTGTTTGAAGGCCCTTGCATAGTTCATATATGTTTCACACAATAGAAGAATTGTCATATGGATCCCATGAATTGGTGAAGTTTCTTGTCTGTGTCTGTATTCCGTGGCAAAATTAAGAGTTAATCTAGTGTACCAGTTATAATGGAAACATACTAAAATCATGTGTTTCTCATTGTTTTTTTTAAATTTTGGGCTAATTGATATCTATAATATAAAATGTGATCAGGAGTTCGATTTTTTAAAATGAGAGATCATTCTATATGTCATTTCTATCCTTCTCCCAGAATTGCATTCAGAAAGTTTTGAGACTTTTGATAGCAGTTTTCTTGTGTGAATATTTCTGTCCAGGCTTTGTAATTGCCATGCATGCTTTATTGAAATTGCATGAGAATTAGGCTAATAGTATGCAGATGGAGAAAAAGTACACAGGACAGGTGTGGATCAGAACCAACCATATACAATTTGAGAAGCTATCTCCAGTTTCTGATATAGTTCCAAAATGTCATGGGGTCTCAAACAGTCTTATTATGAACAACTTCTTTAGGTAGGAGCAGGCGCGATTGGCTGTGAACTCTTGAAGAATTTTGCAATGATTGGCTTGGCTGCTGGAGAGGGTGGGAAGATCACTGTGACAGACATGGACATCATTGAAAAGTCCAACCTGCACAGGCAGTTCCTATTTCGACGACAAGATGTATTTGTAAGTAATGCAAGCAAGATGGCGGGAAAACAGTTGAGAGAAGAGCGTTAACTTTACAAACTCTTGAGTTTTGCTGCTGGTCAGAATACTAGCAACTTGATTTTTAATGTAGAAGTCCATTTTTTTACTTGACTTCTATTTTTGTACTTTGGTCAATGGCCAATTTTAATCCTAGATCTAATCATGTTTCTTTTGTTTCTATAGAAGCAGAAGTCAGAAGTGGCTGCAAATGCCATAAGACTTATGAATCCCAATATCAATATAATAGCTCAGCAGAATCAGGTTGGGCCCAACACAGAACACTTCTATGGGGATGACTTCTTCCTGGATTTGGATGGTGTAGCCAGTGCCCTGGACAGTTTTCAAGCCAGTGAGTCCTTCAATCATAATGGGAATGAGTCTCTATGGCTAAAGTGTTCCATCTTCCACAACGTAATTGCTCCTGGATAAATTGGGATGTCAATTCTCTAACGCTGCCCGCCATCACTAATGACGGTACTGTACTGGGAAATTTGAAAGTAGTAACCCCAGTACCTCTGAAACATTCTAGTTTGAAAAATGCACGTATGTATATACATTTGTATACTTGCATATATTTCACGCTGCTAAATAATATTTTTGCATGAATTCTCTTAATTTTAAGGGAAAGGTAAATTTTGACAAGATAATAAAATAGAAGGATTATTCCTATGATACAAAGGTCAGAATAATTAAAGCAGCCGTTTTTTTCCTGTAAGAATGTATGGCTTTCAAAGTTATATGTACAGAAAGAGTGAGAGAAAGAAGATAGAATGATAGACTAGGGATCCTTTTTACTCCCTGAGCTTCATTGTTTTCTTGCAGACGTTTCATTGCCCAAACTAGGTAACATCATCAGTGCTAGTGTTAGAATGATGGATTTGGAAACTATTACTAACGGTACCATGAACTGCAAGGAAAAAAATAATAAATTAGTTGTGGACCAAATAAAAACTGACTACATCTTTGAGACCCACAAGCAGAAACCCAAATGTTTTGGCATGGGATGGGAGTTGATAATGGACTGAATCTCAATCCCTCCCTCTCTCTCTCTCTCTCTCTCTCTCTCTCTCTCTCTCTCTCTCTCTCTCTCTCTCTCTCTCTCTCTCTCTCTCTCACACACACACACACACACACACACACATCCCTATTGAACTTGGAAGGAGGAAGGGAAAACAATATATAAGGTGGATGAACAGGATCAATTACTGCAAAAAATTCTTCAAAGAACTATAGGTTTCTATTATAGACAGATTGGTGAGCATTGTCTATGGAGTCATTAGGAGTCAAGGCTGAATTGAGTTCACCTAAATAATCAATTAAATTTGCGTAATATTTATCCATCACTCATACCATGATTTGGAGTATTCAAAACATGGCCTTACTAAAGAATGTTTATTTCTAAAGTTTATATACTTTATATACTTTGGATTTTGTCTTGGTTTTCTTCCAGTTCTCTTCTTCAGAGAATGAAGGAAGACATGAAGCAATCAGCACTTTTTTTTGCCTTCAGCTTTGATTTCTTCAAACTTTCAAAGGAAAGCGACTTCAGCAAGCCACAAATGGCTGTTCTTGTGTTTTTTGACCTCTTTCTCTCCTAGACGTTAGTTAGCTGTGGAAATAGAATCACCCAAAGAGGTGAGCAACACTTTAGGCTTCCCCCTTTTCCTTTCCCTGCAGGAAACTATGTGGGTGAAAGATGCGTGCGCTACCTCAAACCTCTGCTCGATTCTGGGACCCATGGCACCAAGGGACACGCCCTGGTCTTTGTGCCTTACCTGACAGAGACACATGGACAAATTCAGGATGGGGACAGAAGAGAGTTCCCTCTCTGCACTCTGCGCTATTTTCCCAGCAACATCCAGCACACTATTCAGGTACAAGGACTGTTTTTCCATAGCCCACGCTACTCTTTCTTCTGCCCCTCATCAACCCTGCAGCTTCTGCTCGAAAGGGACATCTCCCCTCCCTTTCTCTCCAGCTGAGCCATCCCTGAAAGAGGGAAAACTCCCTTCTTCTGCCTGGCCCTTTAGTTTCATTTACTCTTTCCAGGCAGCTGGGCAAGAACTAGAGTGGCTGTTAGTGGTTTGATGACAGGAGATAGGGTTCAGCTGTTTTCACCCATAAGCTAAGCCAGAATTCTTCACCTCAAGAAAATCTTCAGCTGTTTCTTCCCAGTTCACAGAACAGAGGCAGCAAGAGTAGGCCTTTCCAGATTTCAGGACCCTGAGGCTTTTCAGGCCCCTATTCGATTTCCCTTCACCCCCAATAGTGGAAGGTTCTGTCTGGGCATTTGATTGGAGAGCACTTTATATCTAGATTAGAGGAGTAAATGCCTAACTTTTGGGATCTGTGGTACATGTTAGCCTAGTTCAGTGTTTCTCAACCTTGACAATTTTAAGGCATGGGGACTTCAACTCCCAGAATTCCACAGCCAGCATTGCTGGCTGTGGAATTCTGGGAGTTGAAGTCCACATGCCTTAAAATTGTCCAGGTTGAGAAACACTGGTCTAGTTAGCCCAGAAAATAATGGCAGGCAAGATACTCAGAGCCTGCTATCCAGTACTTGCTATTTGCGAGTGCATCTTGCAGATCATAACAAAACAGGCTTAATGCATGTAACAGGAGCAAAATAGATACCCAAACCCACCTCACCTTTTTCTTTTGCAGTGGGCCCGAAATCAATTTGAGGATCTTTTCAAAAAAAGAGCAGAAGATACTAATACATTTCTGAGGTGAGTTAAAGTCTAGATCAGCAGTTCTCAACCTATGGGTCGCGACCCCATTTGGGGTCGATTGACCATTTCTCGGGGGTCGCCAAACAAGGCGATCCGCCATTTTTCCCCCTCGGGGGGCGCCGCCGCACATGGGGGGCACCGCGCCACACACGGGGGGGCGCCACGCATGGGGGCGGCGCCGCACATGCGCGGCACGTTTGTGTGACGGGGGTTGCCGTCACACAAACGTTGAGAAGCACTGGTCTAGATCTTGACAAAGATGCGGTTCTGGATAAATATTGTGTGTGTGTGTGTGTGTGTGTATAAGAATCACGAATAAGCAGTGTTGGGAATCAAGTTGATGTTTTATTCCACTAGCAGGGGCTCACTAAACAATCTCACTAAACCACAGGTCGGCAACCTGCGGCTCCGGAGCCGCATGCGGCTCTTTGGGCCTTCCCCTGTGGCTCCCAGCCTCCTCTGCCTTTGCAGAGAGACAGAGACAGAGAGAGGCAATTGCGCTTCCCTGCTTCTCTCTCTCTCTCTCTCTCTCTCTCTCTCTCTCTCTCTCTCTCTGTGTGTGTGTGTGTGTGTGTGTGTATGTGTAAAAGAGAGTGCACTCACAGTATTCTCCGAGCAGCTGAAAAGCTTACTGGGCGGAGCTCCTCCCTTTGCTGCGTCTCTGCAGGAAGCAGGAAGCGGGAAGGGCAGGAGAGAGCTAGCTAGCCCAGCTAGGCTGACTCAGGAATTCTGGGAGTTGAAGTCCATAAGTCATAAAAGAGACAAGGTTGCTTGTTGGACAACAGCTTGAAGCTTGCCAGGTGAGCAGGAGATAGGAGGGGGGGGAGAAAGAGAGAGAGAGAAAGAGAGAGAGAGAGAGAGAGAAAGAAAGAAAGAGAGCGTGGGGGGGGGAGGGAAGAGGAGTGGCAGACCAAGGGCAGATAGAGAGGGAAGGAGAGAGAGACAGAGAGAGAGAGAGACCCTTTTGACATCTAAAATGAAGATAACACTGCATATATCCTTTTTTTACCTGTGTGTGTGTGAGTATATACACATACATACATACATATACATATATACACACACACACATATACACACACACACAAACACACACACACCTATACTAAAGGTAAAAAAGGATATATGCGGTGTTATCTTCATTTTAGATATGAAAAGGGTTTTGCGGCTCCCAGTGTTTTGTTTTTGGTGGGAAACCGGTCCAAGTGGCTCTTTAAGTGTTTTGGGTTGCCTACCCCTGCACTAAACAATAGTTGTTCTTAGAATAATTAAACAAAGAGCTCTGATTGTTTTGAGAGGCCTATGGATATTTTAACCACAAAATTGGTGCAGTTTTTCTATATTTAAGAAATAAAACAGCTGGGTATTTTCTTTAATCCAACCAGAGTGTATACTTTTAATTCCAGGGATCGCACCTGCCTTGAGAAAGAAGGCACGGAAGCTTTGGAGATGCTGAATCTAGTGAAGACGAGTCTTCGGGAGCAGCCACATTGCTGGCGAGACTGCGTGGTCTGGGCCCGGAGACTTTGGGAGCGTCTTTTCTGTCATGACATCCTGCAGTTGCTGCACAACCTTCCACCTGAATATGTGAGACATGAGCATATCCTTTCTACTCTCAACTGCTTCCTAGCTTCTTGCCCACCATGGTGCAGCAGATGAAGTGGGAATGGCTTAAGATCAAGGGAAGCTCCTCCCTCTGTCCTTCTTTGGATGGAGTGCACATTTCTCTTGCAGTGGCTTCCAATTTAATCAAAACGCATTCCAGAAGGTGCTGGTCTCATCCTGGAGGCATTGCTTTTTTAGCTCCACAAACATTTACTCTTGCTGCTTCTTTGGGTAGAAGCCCATGGTCATAAAATATCTCGGACATCCTAGCTGAAGATTCTGAAAATAAATTGCCTATAGTTTTTTATAGACTGGCGACAAACTTCAGAAGAACAAGAACCTAATAAGATCTGAATCAAAAGGCAAACAGTAATCAGGAGTCCGCTGAGAGAGAATTAATACTGCATATTCAAAGCAAAGATTCCAGATGCTCAGGCTAGGATTAACCTAGAACAGTTTCTATAGCGGTCCTGCACCTGTCTCTCTTCCTCTTGTTGTTGTGAAGCAAGATTCAAGATAGCTATTCTCTTCCTATGTAGAATGTTCCGGTAGTACGAAGAGCCCTCTTCCCATATTTCCTAGTCCAGATTATCTGACATCTGCTGAGAAGATTAGAAACAATCTGCCCTGTATGAAGTTAATACGTAATCATTTATATCCATCTCCCTACAATGGTGGTGGTGTAATTTTGCAAGTAGTGTTACCTATAAATAGAAAATAAAATGAAGCTTTTTTAAGTCTTGCAGGAACACACATGCTCTATGAAAAGAACTTGTACTGCTTCTTTGTTCGCTTAGTTACGCTAATACCTAAAAACACAGAAGGTGATTTTCTTGGCTTTGTTAAGAGGAAAATCAAAAGAAAGAATCGTATGGAATTACGGCACATTTATGTGGAAACTCAGATGCTTAACATAAAGGTGGCTTCTTTGATACCTGTGTATTCCACTCAGGATTGAAAATGCAATTGAAGGATTACTGTAGCAGTGAATTATAATATGCACTTTTTTCATGGCTTTTCATAAACAGATTCAAGGAAGGGTAAAAAAAATAGCGAAGCCCCCCATTTTATACGTGGGACTTAGAGCCCTTTGGTAGCTCCATGGCCTCAGCTGCAGGTTCCATTGCACTTTCACTCCCCATTTTTCCTCACTGTGTACTTTGTGTTACTGAAAGTGATACTGCCATGGTTATATGTGTCCATCTTTTGGATGGTAAAGCATTGTCCTTTTGTATAACCTTTTTTGGCCTTTTCAAGTAGCACATTTTGTAAATCAGCGTGCAATAAAATTTGTAAATAATTTTTGCTCTGAATGGAATGTAACGCTATTGTCAGAAGGAGGCCCTGGATGTTTTGGAGTAATTAAAATGTATACAAGTGAGACATATAGAAGGTACAGATACACATCTACTGTTCCAGCCACACACCTACTGTTTCTTAGCCCATCACTTATTCTCTCTTCCGTGGCTAAATCTCTTCAGGCTGCAAAACTTACCTGGCTCAGTTCCAGCCTTTGGTCAGTAGAGTTTCCTTTCTTGAACTTCTTTCTGGCACCCCATGTGGCTTCCTGACTGACCCCATCTACCTTTGTCCCCAGGAGAAAAGATCTGGACTTCCATGCCCCCACGAACTGCAGTTTGACTACAGCAACGTGAGTGAGTTGTTCAGCTTGGGAACTGGGGATTCTAGAAGAGAGCAGATTTTGCCTTTTCAGTAAGCATCATCAAGGAAAGGTCCATTTCCACTGTTGGGTGACCGTTCACATCTTAAGGTTAAAAGGATGAAAGTAGATGTACACATTCACTCTCATGAACACACACACACACACATTCAATAAATGGGGATTGTTTGTTTTTATTATTTCCTAGAAACAGGTGGAAAACAACTCACAATAAATAGCTAAGAAAAGGGTATGAATCCAGAAATATCTAATTAGCAAGAGAAAAACTAGCTCATTTCAAATTTGCCTTGGATGTTTCAAGGGAGGGTTCAAGATTCACTGGAATGCAGTCCCTGAATCCACTGTTTCTTGCAGACATAGCAGAAAGCTGCATAGGGTGATGTGATGTGTTGATCACAACATAGAGAGTTTGTTTAGCCGGATGGTAAGGAATTTATTTTTGAAGGGTCACCCAATGCTTCCAGTTGCTGATATGAGAAACAACAACTTAGAGCTGCAGTGGGAAAAGGGGATATATTTGGTACTGCCTCTGCTAAAGCTATCTTTGGTTTTTTTATAGCCCACCCATGAGGCCTTCATTGTGATTGCCAGTCGCCTCTTTGCCAAGACACACAGGCTGCTTGTTCATGAAGAACAAGCTATTACCTTCCAAGTCCTCCGTGATATGCATCTCCCATCCTTCCAACCATGTCAAGGGATGAAAATCCCTGTTACTGATGAAGATATTTCAACACTACCAAGTGCTACTGGTAAGAAATCGACAAGATCAATGATAGTTAGAAAACTAAACTGCTTCAGTTAGCTTCCAAAGATCCTTCTGCTGATCTCATCGAAGATGTGGGTAGAGGTTATCATTGAACTGTAAGGATTATATAAGAGGCTTTAAACAGGCAGATAATGTTTTGTTCATCCCATATCAATCATCTTACTTGGGCTGCTCCAAATATGCCTTTTAGATCAGTCAGCACTGGTACAACTGAAGCAAGAATTGGGAAAGTTAAGAGAGGAACTTGAAAAAGACAATGCCCTCTTATCTGGTCATATGGAGCCACTTCACTTTGGCAAGGTATGGATATGCTTTTTTATTGCATCTTGCTATGTATTTCTTTCTTGGTAGACCTTGAAGGCCAGTGAGTAAACCGTGTGACTCCACTATGCCAATTGTGATTTCCTCTCCAGCAGTTCTGGCAATGCTTCTTCATCTTGGACCAGGCAATTTCAGTTTAGAGCTAAAGCACCTTTATGAGATGATTCATGAACTGATTTTCCCATTGTCCCAGTATCTGTAAAGGGCAAGTATGAACAAGAGCCACATGATTTTTTTAATATTCAGAGTTCAAAGGTTGAGTTACAAAAAACACTTCCTTTGCATCACGTACACAAGATTTAGGATTGTGACTCAAAGACAGAACTACAAATCAGATGGCTCCTGGTTTTGAATCTCACCTTTACTCAGAACTCATTGGATACCCTGAAGTGGGCAGAGCAATTTCTTTTAGGCTGAAGGAAGCATTTGGACTTTACTGATGTGCTGGAATCCTTGTTCCCAAAAGTGGGTGAGGCCAGGGCATGATAAATGGGCAGAAACCCAAACAAAAGCCAGATAAGCCTGAATTTAGGTCAATTTGACAGCATAACTTCCCATAACTACCTAATGATTTCCTTAATTTATTTGTAGCTTAAATGTGTAGGTAAGATTTAGATGGACTCAGAGGAAACATTAAGGCCTTCTTTCCGGAAGAAAATTCTCAAGAGAGAGAGAGAGAGAAAAAAAGGAAATAATCATGCTTTTGGCTGCTAAGTTATATATTAAATGTGTGGTAGTTTCTAGAATCTTTAACTGGATATTCTTTGAGTGTTTTAAACTTGCTGTGGTCTATGACTACAATAAACATTGACTTGACTTGAATTTGTGATGGAATCCCACAAAAGAGGAGGTGGGACCATGTGACCTTGAGACTCAGGCGGTGCTACTTAGAACAATTATTTGTCTTTATATCAGAACCAAACCATATCTGGATAAACTGCTCTTTTGAGTTGGTAAGGCTACATTCCTGGGCATACCTCTCTAGAACTAAGTTTTCCTGATCACGGACTTAATTCTGAGCCATGCATAAAATTAAGACAAAATAAAGTCAGAAGCTCGTTGGTCTAAATTCATTCTAATCTGGGGTTAGCAGATGAGAATGGTGGGGAGGGGAGAACGGGAAGGTGCTTGAACATGAAATGACAAGGATGTGGAACATTTCGGGAAAATGGTGGGTTCGTGCCAAGGGTTTTGCTCACCCTTGCTATCTGAGACTCTTTAAAGGAAAGTTAAGCTGGATAATGAAAGCAGAGCTGACTTTCTGTGTACAAAGAATACCCTTCAAGCACTGAGTTACGGCCTTCCTCAGTTTGCTCACATCTTGCAGTAGGAAGTCTGTTTTATTTAGTAGGGCAGAACATTGTGATTGAATGATATTCCTTGTGTGCAGAGGAAGATTGGAACAGGCTCACAGCTGCTGTGAGCCAAACCTTTTGCATACAGTGGGCATTTGTCTGCAGAAATGCAGTTGTAATGTAGGAATCTTGTGGGGATTATATCCAAATATGTCATCAGCTGCCAGGATTGGGGTCCAGATTTTACTTAAGGTGGAATATTTTCCATATATTGCCATTTCAGTTGAAAGTTGCTGTCAGATGCTCCTAATAGAAATCTCATTTACCAGTCAGGTTTAGTTGCTTTGACCTTTCCATGTTTTGGAGGCTACTGTTTCTGGAGTCCTGAGTTATATTATCACTGAGTTGACATTTAGGATTTAAGTTTCTTACGTTTCTAGAAGAGAGCAATATTATTATTTAAAAGCACAAAACATCATGCAATTCAGATTAAGTATCTAAGGACTCAGGTACATTTTGTCATCCATTCTACGATAATACGCAAATACTTTAAAATTGTAGGTATATATTTCACATTATTTATAAACCACCCCAGTGCTGAAGGGCTCTGAATGCATTAGGACGTAAAAGAAAATATAAAATGTAACAGTACAGATCTTGTAGCCAGAGTTTGGATGCCCTTGTTCAGACCAACTGAGGCCAAAGACGCATTGAAATAGCACAGATTTAAATTGTTTACAGTGTTAACAGGAGAGGGTCTGTCGAAACTGAGAGACGGCGTTCCAAAGAATGAGGGGTACCATGAAGAAAGTGTGTACAGGTAGTCCTTGACTTGCAACCATTCATTTAGTGACTATTCCACGTTACAAGAGCATTGAAAAAAGTATCTTGTGACCAGCCGCACAGTCCCATGATCAAAATTTGTGTGTTTGGCAACTGGCATACATTTACAACGGTTGCAGCCTCTCAGGGTCCTGGGATTGGCATTTACAACCTTCCTAGGGAGCTTCTGGCAAACAAAATCAATGGGGAAGCCAGGGTCACTTAACAACCACATGACTCACTGAACAACTGCAACTTGCACTTAGCAACTGCTGTCTTTAGCAACAGAAATGTTGCTTTCCATTGAGGACTACCTGTAATCTGGTTCACAGCCGTGTATTTCTTGCCAGAGGGTGGATGGGGTGCTTTGGAATGAGCTGTTGATGGTCCTGTTTCTCATTATTTTTCTGATACTCTTCTTCTGTTGCTGCATAACGTGATCATTTGCAACCTTCCTAGTTAGTTTAGACATAGTTACCTGTTGACAGAGCAACACTGCATACTAGATCTTCCCGATTGGACCACTGCGATGTGTCTCCATGGAGCTACCCCTGAAGACCATGCAGAAGTTACAATTTGTCCAGAATGCAGTGGTGTACTTTGATTTGCTCATTGGTTCTCTGTCTCTCTGTCTCTGTCTCTCCCTCCCTCCCTCCCTCCCTCCCTCCCTCCCTCTCTCTCTCTCTCTCTCTCTCTCTCTCTCTCTCTCTCTTTGGAGTGCAATTCAAGCTGTTGGTTATCTCTGCATGCACAAAACCAGGTTACTTGTAGAACTGCCTCTCCCTGAGGGTATCTGCCTTCTCCACCAGGTCAGATTGGGAGGGCATGTTCCCTTCCCCTACATGCTGCCAGCTAATAGGGCCTTTTCCATAGCAGTCTCTGCTCAGTGGGGTGCCCCTCCTGGGATCCAACAGGATCCCACCTTTTTAGCCTTTCAGAAAGCTGCAGAGAGCTGGCTTTCCCCCCAGGCATTGGAATAGGCATCAGGGTCCGGTGATCACATTGTCTGTTAGATCGGATATTGTTGGTTAAGGCACTAGGGGATTTTGACTTTACTGTTCCTTTGGCTTTTAATATTACTTAGTAAGCCGTCTAGAGTTGTGTTTCATAAAAATGGGTGGTCTTATATCTCTTCTCAATTAATTGTTAATGAACCAGGCCACCAATCTATCTTTGCAGTACTTAAACTACTGTTGTGTTGTATTTTTTATACAATTTGTTTCATGATCTACAGTTCCTCTTTTCATTTTTTTCACCTTCTCCCATCTCCCACCCGAATTCCTCCTCCTAATTCAAAAATATTCCAGAAACATCCAGTTGGGAGTGCCTGTTGTAATGTTACCTTGATATGGGTTGGATAGACAAAAGGAGCAACCATTTAAAAAAATATATATGAAATGGGTTTGTTGCATGGGAAGAAAGAGGATAAGGAGGAAAGGAAAAAGACTTGAGGGCACAATTCCTTAACTGAGTCAAGGGCAACTTTGTGTTACGTCTGCTCTGGACTGTGGAAACTTACTCAGCTGCACAGTGTTTTCCAAGATTGCACAAAGCGTTGCACGCACACTGTTTTTTTGCAGTCATTGGAGTTGTTTTGCTTTACTAAAAATAAACCCTCCAAACATCATATTTACTCCCATCACTACATTTTATGCCTTTTCTTTACAGACTATCCAATCCCAACTGTTCTTTGTTTTTCCTGATTTTTGTAAGGCTTACAATCACTTTTGTCTCCTTCCTATTGAGATCCTTTCTATTACTTCCACCACTTCCTGGTTAGGACTGATTTTCCTATTGTTGGGCCCTCAGGATAATGACTCCCATTTGAGTTTCATCACGCATGCAGCCAATCTGCGAGCTGAGAACTATGGCATCTCTCCAGTGGATAAGTTCCAGGTGAGGCCAGTGGGAAGGCTTTGTTTCTCTCTCCCCACCCCCCCACCCCACCCTAATTTTGCCAATAAATGAAAGACAGAAAATAGAGAGTTGAGAATGGGGATATTGGAATGTGTTCTAGCTGTTTTAGAAGAAGTCCATACAGCAAGGTTATTTCTTCACAAGGCTACTCAAGAGTGGGAGGGAAAAAAGTTGGAAGCTTGGGGAGAAGGGAGCTATCAAGGGAATGGAGGTGGTGGAGAAAATCCTTCCCCAGTGCTTGCCATCTGCAGAATTCTTTCCTGCCAGAAGCAGCTTTCTCATCATTTTCATGGTCTCTGTCCAACTTAATTTCAATAGGCCAAGAGGATTATGGGCCGGATTGTACCTGCTATTGCCACAACCACAGCTGCTGTAGCTGGCCTGACCTGCCTGGAGCTTTACAAACTAGTGTGGCAGCACAAGGATCTCAGTTCCTATCGCCATGACTTCCTCCAGCTCTCTCAGCCCTTCCTCAGTCGCTCCCAGCCTGTGCCATGTCCACAAGTGTACAAGGTGAGGCCTGTGGTGATCCTGTTTGGGGCTCTAAATTCATCATAGTTTGAAAACGGGAGGAGATTGGTTGGGTCTCTTTTTGTGTGCAAGTCAAAGATGAGAACAAGCAAGGGAGAACTCCAGAGGCGTTCTGGAATACCTGGATGTCTAAAAGGCTGGAGCAAGGGGTTGCTGTAGTGCTAGGAGCCAAATCATTCCGGAACAGAAATCAAATTGCTTTGTACAAGTAAACATGTAATTTCTGTAGCAACATGGATGCTGGTGGCCATCTTAGTTTATAGTAATCTTTCTACATTGAAGGAGGGAAGGGAGAGCAATGGTTCCCTCTTATTTCATGCTCAAAATAGTCCCAAGGGTGGCTTTGGCACTAAGCATCTGTGATCACTTGGATGTGTGGGTGACACACCCTCTATTTGTGCACTTTTGCTGGAATATTTAAAGACACTAAAGGCTGTCATAACAGAGTTGCTGATTTTTCTGGCACAAGTCTGTCTCCAGACGTTGCAACAGAAGAATGAAAATTGGAAGTATGAAGCACTTGATCTTCTGGCATGCGTTCCTGTTCTTGGCTACAGCTTCCAGCCACAGTCCCCTCCTGGAAATAGGGTTTATGGCATTAATTAGAGATAGTGCATTGCTCTGGGTGTTACTGGCAGCAAAGATTCAGGGTAGAATGGCTGCTTTGTATCTTTTATTTTTTTTATTTTACTATTTATTTATTACTGAAATTTGCTGTATATAGCCATCAAAGGTGACTCTTTAGCATGTGGGCGAGAATGACGTCCAGGCTGCAGATGCTACCAACCCATTCCATGCAGTGCCATCTTGTCTGGGCACCGGAAGTGAGTTGCTTGCCCAGCCTTGACGTGAGGGGGCAGGGGAAGCTGCTCAGCTCAGCTGCTGCTGCCCCTGCCTTTCCTGAGCCCCTTCTGGCAGACAGACGGTGAGGGAGATCTAGTTTCAGAAGCTGATGCCTGGAGTGTGTATCAAGCCAGCAGCAGTGCAGAAGGAGAGGGATGGATAGGTGCCTAAGAGCTGTCAGACACAGGAAGTGGTCTTTAACCTGCAGCTGACATTCACAGCTGGTGCTAAGCTAGACACCAATCTGGAGCACCAGCCACAGTGTTTTCTTTTGGAAGAAACCACTAATGCCAGCCCTGAATCTCTCCACACACATTCACTTGCCCCCCAGATATGATGAAGGGCTTTCACTGCAAGATTCAACAAAGTCAAGGTAAATCCGAGATGAAATGGTGCTGTGACTGAAAGGGAGTACATATTAACATAATCATAAAATCATATAGTTTCTAGTATGGAGGCCTGCTAGTCCAACACCCTGGCCAAGGCAGAAGTCCTTATACCATCCTAGATAATCCATGTTTAGACCATTGTCCAATCTTTTTTCTCAGAGATAAGTCACAGAAGTCTCACAGATATCTTCAGAGCAACATTAGAATGCAGATGTATCCTCTCTTGCCATCAAAGTGTTTCTTGTGGATAATAATAGTAGAATAAATGACATTGGTATTTTACTTCTTGCAGTGAAAAAGTAGTGGGCAAAGGTATAGGCTATTGTAGGGAAATTTTTTATATTAAATCAATACTATCTGTAATGTATTGAAATTATGCCACTATCCTACCAGTGTCAATGATGGATCTTTCTAGGACAGGATCCACCACCAGACAGATAATTTGTATATGAGGTTCTTTTATTATGTGTTTCTGGTTTTCTTATTAAGCTGCATTTATTGGAATTTCTAGATGATTTTTCTAAATACTGACTAGCTTAAAGATGGAGTTGCACATTCAAATTCTTTCCTTCCTTCTTTTCTTCACTCAATCCCCTTCCTTCCTTCCTTCCTTCCTTCCTTCCTTCCTTCCTTCCTTCCTTCCTTCCTTCCTTCCTTCCTTCCTTCCTGTTGAGCTATCAATATATGCTATGGCATGATTTCTTCCTGGCAACTCTTTTTAAAGTACTTTGCCATTCTTGTTCTCTTTTTTCCAGCATGAATGCAGAGGAGGTATATTTATGCTCACCCAGAATACACATGCTGGGACTTCGGGGTTGATTCTACTGTTGTCACCCCCAGGAAATTGCCTTGGCCCTCTATGGCTGGGGCTGTTTTCTTGGCTTCTTTGCAATAGCTCCCTTTTCTGGAGAAAGAAACCAGAGCCAGAATAGGGTGGGGGCGAGTGGAAAGAGCAAGAAGCTAAATTAAGAGCGTCTGTTTGAATAGAGGCCTTTTTGTCTTGAGTTTATGGAGTGAGAGGCTGGGGCTTCCTGCTACACAGGAAACACAGATTGGAACCAGATTGGTAGGAGAAGGGAGGGCCAGGAGGAAAGGGGGGGGGGCATCAGTTCTGCAGGGCTTGGGCTGTCAGGCCTCTGTTCCTTCCCTCCTGGTTCAGATCATGCTGCATGGCCCCAGGGCTTGGTTACACCCCCCCCCCTCATCTAGCATTGCCAAATGTTGTATATTTTTAAAGGGTATCTCAGATTTCTAAACAGCACAGCTCTGCAAATGGCCCCTGCAATGACCAGAGATTCAATACTTCTGTGGTGAAAAGGGGTGGGGGGTGGCCTTGGTAATGAAAGTTTGTGACATTTTGAATTTGAAAAATCTTCTCTGCAGCCATAGTTCATCCAGCTGTGGAGGGATTGTGCCTCTACCAAGTGTAGCAGCTTAGAGGCTGTGGTGCTCAGAAGGCAGATGTGAAGGCAATGTTTTTAACTGTGCAATTTTGAAGCCTCCTTTGCATAGTTTTACATAGGATTCAGTGAAGTTTGCCTTCCTCTTTAATTATCAGCAGTTTTACCATTGCACCTCTTTACTTTCTCAAAAATAGACTTGATAGGAAAAGGGATGGGATAGAGAGACCACATCTATGATTGTCAGAACTGGGAGTTTTCTCCGTAGTTGCACCTCTGGATCTTTGGAATGTAGGAAGCTACCTTATACTGAGTAAGACCATTGGTCCATCATGTTCTCTGTTGTTGGGAAGGATGGGCTGCTCTCCCCTAGGTTTGAGAGTGGAATCTTTCTCTGCAAATCTAGTGGAGACGGACACTGAATCACAGAAAGCAAACGGTTCCTTTTTGAGGCACTTGTCTCCAAACACTGTCCAGATATGTTCAACTGGGATTCTCATCAGTGTAAGATTTGGTAGGGAATTATGGATGTTATAGTCAAAGATGTCTGGAAGACATTGTGGTAGAAAGCTTTACTGACCTATGCTACTCCCATGAGATGATTTGCAGTAAAGCCACAAAGGTTTCTGACTGAACTGTTTACCCTCGAAGTAATTAGGTTGAGTCTGTGATTAGAGGTCTCATTAACTGTTTTCACTACCATCACTCCCACTCAAGTCATCCACTTGACAGCTGTTGATGGATTTCAAAACTGTTAACAAAGTAGGTCCTACAGATCTGAAATCTTGCCACCACTTTTCTCAGCACTGCCAACAGTATCAGAGAACAGCAACAGAGAAGACAGGATGGCAAGTCTGTATTTATTATGACTGAGGGCTATTTAGGAACATCCATCTTGCTTCTTTTTCAGGGATGAATAAACTCCTGGAATTAAATCCTGACTTCATTCCTGAAGTTGCCTATGTGAAATTGGAGTGGAAAGGGAGGAAAGAGCGGAGAGGAGGGCTCAGAGAGGAAAAGGAGCAACAGCATCAGAAGATGGGAAGGGGGGATAGATTTGCAAAAGGAATGGAGAGCTGTACTGAATCCAAGAACTTGTGGAGTTGATTAAGCCACATATGGGAGTCATTAGTTAGCAAGGGCTGGTGATTGGGGGAAGGCAGCTCTTATCCTGGCGCCAAAGGATTCCCCCCCCCCCATACATTCATTGGAAATTTGTTTCTCATGCTAGAGCAGATTTTGGGATGGGGATGGGCTAGGAAGCAACATTTCAGAGAACTGTGCAAGGCAGACTTGAGTAGAGAAAATCAGAAAGAACAATGCTGTGGCGTGGGAATAAAGAGTTTTGGGAACAATGGTTGGCTTGGAACCTCAATATTCTCCCTTCCTATCCTCACATGGTCAACCCACTCCTGTCTCCTTGCAGCCTTGGCTTTGAAGAGTGATCTTTTGGCATTATGGATGGGGCCTGTTTGATTTCCACTGTTCCCACTGTCTGTGGTTAGTCCCTTGGCTGTAGAAATATAGAGGCAGAGAAAAGAGAAGAGGAAGAGATGGAGGTGTGAGAGGCCAAGTGGCCATATGGCACCTAGGAAAGAGGAAAACCTGTTCTTGTTACTAGCAATGTAAAGGAGCAAATGGAATAGGCCATATGGAGCCAAATGGTCAGGATGACAGAACTTTGGCTCTCAGTTTCCTCCCATATGTGTCATGACATAAGTTACATTTGCCTCATAGGCATTTAAAGAATTATTTTCTACCGTTTAGGGACTCTCTTATGTACAATGATTTAATCTGAGTTACATGATGGTTTTTCATTTAGAACTCCCTGTTTGATGGTGCTGTGCATCTTGAGTTCCCTTTCCTTCTTCCCATTCCCTTTTTTTATTTGCTTCTAAGTGGGTTTGAAATAAAATAGGTAAGAGTTCTTTGTTTTCAAATTGTAAATCCAGGAACCATTGCTAACACAGATCAGTTACTAGCGAAACACATAGATGGAAGAGGGATGATTCTTCTGAAAGGAGTTCCAATATATCCATATCACCTGTTCTGTGTGTGGATAGAGGTGGTCCAGCAACCAGTCCAAATTGGTCTCAGAATTTGTGTGTGTGTAGGTATATGCGTAGAGAAAGCGGTTTTAGATTTGATGCAAGCATGGAAGATGGTAAGTATGGCAGTGCTTGGTCTAGTCAGAACCTATGGATGGAAGAAACATGTGCGTGCCACAACTGTACAGGCCTTTTAAAAACTCAAGCTCACATACACAACAAGGGCAGCTGCATGCATTCCATCTCAAGTTCCTGCAAAGCTGGCTCTTTTTCAACTGCTTCCTGCACCAAATCACCTTTGCAAGAAACCCAGTGGAGCACTTGTGGAGACAGTTCAATTTTCCCCATTTTGTACTTTCATCATTGGGGAAAAGAACAGGGATACAAAAGGAGTCCCCCAATTAGGTATCCCCCAGATAAAGATGATGTCACCAGTTGATCTTTTCACCAAAGAAGCGCTTTGGTGCTTCCAAAATGGAAATATAGTATAGGGGGACAAAAAGGGGCTAGCCAAAGTGGTCTGTTTCTGTCTCTTTACAGAAATGGACTTGCTTTGGCTGCTGTGTGCTTTCTAGTGGGAAGATGCAGGATAACTGAGAATGGCTTCAGCCATCTCTACTATATGGGTGATCCATTGGGGCATGTAAAAATGGCTCTTGACTGCCCTCCTTCTGTACAAGGGTAGGGAAAATTACTTCAAAGTGTTCTAGGAAGTCTTACAACATTGCAGGATGTGTCCTGGATTTTAGTCCTGCTCCTACTGAGATCATCCAGCCTGAAAAAGAAGGTTATAGTAAGACCCAGTTCTTGGAAGCAATCCTGTCCCTTACCTATGTTTTATATTACTTCATGAAATAATAATAATAATAATAATAATAATAATAATAATAATAATAATAATAATAATAATAATGGTTGAAGAAGAAAAATGGCTTTGGAAGAACATCTGAAGAACAATGATAAAGATACACTGAAATTAGTATATCAGGAAGGCTTATTGACTACTGGAGAGACCAAACTGGCCTATAAGAAAGACCAAATGAAGAACAGAATAGAGGCATGGGAAGACAAAGCACTACATGGCCAATACATTAAAAAAATAGCTGGGAAAGCAGATAATAACAAGACCTGGCAATGGCTAAGAGCAGGAAAATTGAAGAAAGAGACCGAGGGACTAATTCTGGCTGCACAAGACCAAGCCTTAAGGACAAATGCATATAAAGTCAAAATTGAGAAGACAGCAACAGACAGTAAGTGCCGCCTATGCAAAGAAGCTGAAGAAACTGTGGACCACCTGGTAAGCTGTTGCAAGAAGATCGCACAGACTGACTATAAGCAGCGGCATGACAAAGTAGCAACAATGGTGCATTGGAAGATCTGCAAAAAATATCATTTGCCTGTAAGCAAAAACTGGTGGGATCATAAAATAGAGAAAGTCATAGAAAATGATAAAATTAAACTGCTCTGGGACTTCAGAATTCAAACAGACAAGCACCTGCAACATAACACCCCAGACTTAACAATTGTCGATAAGAAAGACAAAAAAGTCTGGATAATGGATGTGGCAGTGCCTGGAGATAGCAGAATAGAAGAGAAAGAACTGGAGAAGATAACAAAATACAAAGACCTACAAATAGAAATAGAAAGACTGTGGCAAAAGCAAGCAAGGGTAGTACCAATAGTCATAGGCTCCTTGGGTGCAATCCCAAAACAACTGGAGCACCACTTGAACACCATTGGCATTGACAAATTCGCTATTAGTCAATTGCAAAAGGCGGCCTTACTAGGAACTGCTTCCATCCTGCGACGATATCTGTAATATCATCAAACATCCACATCTGCCTATCCCAGGTCCTGGGTAAGGACTCGATAGGTAGACAAAATGCCAAATCCAGTCTGAACATCTGGCTGACTGCGATGATCCATGATGATGATGATAATAATAATAACAATAATAATAATAGTAATAGTAATAGTAAGAATAATAGTAAGAATAATAATAATGTTGGAAGGAACCTTGGAGGTCTTCTAGTCTAACCCCCTGCTCAGGCAGGAAACCCTATACCATTTTAGATAAATGGTTGTCCAGTCTCTTCTTAAAAACCTCCAGTGTTGGAGCATTCAGAGCTTCTGGAGGCAGGTTGTTCCATTGGTTAATTGTTCTAACTGTCAGGAAGTTTCTCCTTAGTTCTAGTTGCTTCTCTCCTTGATTAGTTTCCATCCGTTGCTTATATCAATACCATCTAAGACCGCTTTCTTTAACCTGGGTATTATAATCCAAAATCATCTGGAAGTCATGGAATCTGGTACAGGAAACCTTTTAAAGCCTTCTCAGACCCTTTGTGTGTCACTAAGAAAAGTTCTCAACAATAATGTTTTGATTTGGCCTGTGATTTTCCTTTATGATTAAAATTAAAGAAATTGGTGACCTTAAATTTTGCTACTATTAAAGAGCAATAAACCTGACATTCCTTTTTCATGGGGGAGGAAGAGAGATGGGTACAGCTCCATCCTTTTTTAAAAAAAATCTTTTAACAACTTTCATACATAAAAAAGCCTTCACACACATACACAAAAAAGAAAACAACCTAAGAAAACAATAAACTAAATGCACAAAAAAGAAAAAAAATGTCAAGGGATTACAAAGTATATATATTTCCATTGAACCATACATACATGTTTAGAAATCTAAGTTAAATAAATAATAAATGAGAATATTCTTTTATTACAAAACAACACTGAAGCTACATTACCTCTACCCTACTGAAAAAGAGTTGATTGAACAGTGGGATGGGATATAGTTTTTTAGGTAGCCACAATGAAGACGTGACTGCTTTCATTAGAGCTCTAAGCAGGAATCTAGTAGGGTTATCTAGAAGCTTTGGTAGATGCTAATACAAGTAGTCCTCAACTTAGGATGACAGTTGAGCCCAAAATTTCTATTGTTCAGTGAGACGTTTCTTAAGTGAATTTTGCCTCATTGTACGACCTTTCTTGCCACAGTTGTTAAGTGAATCACCATAGTTGGGAAGTTAGTAACATGGTTGTTAGGTGAATCCGGCTTCCTCATTAATTTTGCTTGTCAAAAGGTTGCAAAAGGTGATCACATGACCTTGGGACACAGCAACAGTCACGGGTCAGTTGCCAAGCCTCTGAATTTTGATCACATGATCATGGGGATGCTACAAAGGCTGTAAGTGTGAAAAATGGTCCTTAGTCACCTTTTCCAGTGCCGCTGTAACTTTGAATGGTCACTAAATGAACTATTATAAGTCGAGGATTACTTGTATTTTTGGATTTAGATAAGGGAGTCGAAATTGTCCATATCTGCCATTTCTAAAAACAAGGAGGATTTGCTTAGGAGGCTTAGAGAAATGATACAGTCCAAGCCAGCTCTTCCCTAACTGACCAGTGAGCTTGCCCAGGACAGTATCCCTTTGTGCCGCCTGACCCCCCAAATTTCCCTCCAGTCAGGGCACTTCCTACCATGAACTAGTAATCAGCTCCAATGGCTCCCTTGTTACTAGATGGGATGTTTCTTGTCTGTTTTGCCCAGGGCCAACAATGCAAAGAGCAAAGAGGTCAGAAAGTTTTGGGGCCTCTTATGAAGAAAAGGATAATTGTATGTTGTCAGGAGATCCATTCAATGTGTCTTTGTGTAATAGAAAGCTATAGAACATGAACAAGTAAAAGAGAACCCTGTAGGGTCCTCTCTGTACGCTCTGCATCCATTTTGTGTATCCAGAGATGAGAAGACAGACTGGAATGAGCCAGATTATCCAGTGTTGGCTTCCCATGGGAAATGCAAGAGGAATGACTTCCTCCGCTCTATACATTATGGCATTTCCCCCCCTGGTTTTGAATACATTAAACTGTCTTTTCAGCAGGAGGAGGACTGGTTTTCATTGGAAGCCTGCCATTTTTGTTTATCAGAATTCTGTTCTGCCTTTCCTCGAAGACTCTCAGATCTGTGTGTTTTAGTATTTGATAACCTCGTGAGGTAACTGAGAAGTTGAAAGGAAAATGACCTTTTTGGCCGATGTGATTCTGGCTTTCCTTATCCTAATCAAATGCTCTCAACTACAGCATCACAGTGGCCTTTGGGGTGGCAATGATTAATTTTCCTTGCGGTTTGAAATGCCGGGCCTGATTAGAATTGGTCAAGTTATTATCTTTTATTTGCATTGGTTTTTCTTATGTTCCCCTTGGTTAGATTAAAGAGCCGCTGCTTGATACCTAAAACCTCTTCTTTGAAGGTATATTAACAATCAGTTCACCTCTTCACCTTGTTTTTGATAAGATGAACAGTCTGAATTTGTTAGATCCTTGGCTATAAGATTCTTTCCCAACAGCTATTTTTGTTATTAACATCTCACTAGAAAACGAGCAATAGATCTTAAACTAGACATAATGTTCATAATTTAGAGGGGGGGAACCTCCTCTGTATCCCCTTGTTTTACTAAAATGATCCAAGTGGTCTAGTGATACAGATTACTTGGGGCTAATATATGGGATCGCTGAATTTACCAATCCACCAGTAAGGTTCCTTCAAGCTGCAATGTCAAATAATACTCAGCACTAAGTTCCCCCATTTCAATGGATCTTATACCCTAGAAAATATAGTTGGGCTTCTAACTTTGGATATAAGACCCACTGGGATATATTTCCAAATGAGTAATGGATTGGGTTGCAGGACAACTTAAGAGTGTGAATCTAAGGCTTGACCCATTCTGTTCTTTAAGAAATGGCTTTTCTGAAAGCTGCCTGTTGCAATTTTCTTGAAGTGTACCAGCTGGGTTAGGACTGTTCACACAGACCTTTTTTTTAAAAAATGATCTCCATGCTGTGGATAAAGTAGACTTCACAAACGCTTATCAATGTCTAGCTTTAAAGTGCCTCGAGACTCTTTGTTGTGGTACGTTGCAAAAAAAACCAAAAACCCCTCAACTTGCTATTTCTCTGGAAATTGTTTTCTTCCCAGTATCAGCAGAAGACATGGAGCTGCTGGGACAGAATTACTGTGCCTGGTTTTAATTCCAAAGGAGAAGTTATTACCTTGAGAGACTTCTGTGATCATATCCAGGTAAAGTCAATCGTTCCAATTTCAGAAGCAAATTCTGGTAAGTGCCCAGGGGCAAATCTTGGGTGTTCAGTCCTACCTCTACTTCTTCCTGTAGTAAGAAGATTTTCCTCTTCCTTAGTAGGCAGGGTTGCCTTTCCTGTGCAGAGGAAGAGATGTCTGGGCATAGCTCCCTAAATGTGTATACAGTATTTGGCTTTCCAGTGTTACATCCAGCCTCATTTGTGTACAAACATAAAGATGATTTTCATCCAATATTTCACATACAGAGACTTTATGGGATGTCCCCATTCTATCCCAGTGCCATTTTCTTGATTAGCCAGTATTCTGTTCAATATGCTTCCTGTTCCCAGTACACTCATGTCTGGCAGCCAGGTTTGTCCTAACTCATACATATTGCTTGTTTAATCCTTTTTCATTGTCTTTCATTTTCATCCCCACAATTGAATGTCCTGTATTGGACTCATCTGTCCATCATCGGATTCTTCCAGCTCACCCTTTTCAAACTTGGTTCCCCTCCAGACAGACGTTCTGTGATTTTCCAAGAGATAGCTAGGTTAGTCTTTCATTGCATACTAAGTAAAAAAAAAAACATGCAGCATTTTGAAGAGTATTATACTCATTAGTCCACTCTTAGGTAAGAGTTGCAGGTTACGAAGTTTTCAAACATGTTTGCAGACCACCATGTTAAAGAAGACTATTATAGATCTTTACTGTGTTCTCCTCAGCTTTCCCGACATCATGTTGATTTAGTGGTCTTCAGTTAAAATGATTTTAATGTGATACTGACTGTGTTGACTGTTTTTCATAGAGGGAGCATGATCTTGTGCCTCGGAAGTTGCTGTTTGGGAAAGCCACCCTCTATGATAAGGAAGAGCCGATCGTAGAGCAACAACTTTCTTTCTGGTAGGAATTTAACGGAGATATTTCCTTAAGAATTTAATAATACCTTGCAGTCTGAGTGCTACAATTGTCCCCAACCTCTTTTTTTGTAGCCTTTCTCCATACTGCCTAATTTTAGATTCCCAAAAAACACATACAGTAACAACGTGGTTTAAATGGAGTAGCTTTAATAGCATTAGTTTAACCCATTTCTCACAGACTCTAAAAAAAAAAAAGAATTCTCCTACTCACTATATATCATCAACCAATCCACTGCAGATTTTGGCCCTTAAAAACCTGTTATGTGGGCTCTCTGGCTTTAAACTTCTTTTTTTTTTTAACAAATCATAACCAAAGACGAGCGTTTTGAGATTTCCTCCCTGCATGAACAACATTTCATAAGGCCTCTTGTAATCCATAGAGAGATATTGTAGAACCCTAATCTTCATAGCTTCAGTCTCTGGTTACAAGAGCAGAGCCGTTGATGAGGCTCTATCTAACCAAGGCAGGGAACGGTTTTATGAATTGAACTGACAGAAAAGACTTCTAGTTTGGAGGCCCATCTGTAAAGGCTGTACCCAGCTTTAAATTCATATGTATATATGTGTATGTGTGTGTATATATGTATACACACACATACACACATACTTGTGATGCTGTCTTTCAGCTCTAAAAAGGCTTCTATGACAGTTTACAGTTTACAGCTATTAAAAAGCAGAAGACTATAAAAACAGACCAAATGAAACAAGTTAAATCTCAGTTTAATATTAAACTATGACAAGTTTCCCAGGCTATCAGAGGCTCTTTCCATTAATTCTGCACAAAGGGAGGGGGGGGGAGGCTGTTGGTGACCCAGTAAAAGAAAAGCCTGGTCAGACAATCTCTGGGAATTCTTCCATCTTTCTTCCTTCTGTGATTGCTGAGGTTGAATATGTGCTCTGTCTGGGCCTCCGCTTGCCTGGTTTTGCTGGCTGGACAACAGCCCACTGTCCAGCTGTGCTTAGGAAGCCAGTCGGCCGAGGGATCCTCAGGAGTGAAGGATAGGGAGGCCAGGGCTACCCCGCTGCAAGGCCCCTACAAGTACAGCCTGGGTCCTGTATCTGCAGCAGCTGCAAAGCCTCTAATGTCCCGTCCCTTCCATGCCGGGTAAACATCCTGCTGTCAGCACCTCCTCCTCAACTTCCTGGGGTAGACAAAGCTCATCCCAGCCTCAAGCAGGCCCTTCTGGGCTTCTGCCAACCAGAGGCAACTGTAGCCTCCCGCTCTATAATCTTTCCAGACTCCCTGGCAGCTCTCCTGCTTTCAGCACACTCACTTTCCTTCTGTCCACACCCCCTTCGCAAATCAGTCTATAGATTCTTCCAGGCAGAAGCTCCACTCTCACTCTGCTTCCTAAGGAGAGAGCAAAATGCCTGCCTTGCTTTCCGCTCTGGAGGGCTGAGGTACCAGGTGGAGAGCCTGTGCCTGCTTGAGAACCCAGCTGGCATGGCCAAGGTAGGGGATCCTGGAAGCCGTTGCTCAGAAATATTCCCTGTCCAACCTCCAGTATAAAAGCTTGGGGAGAGAGGGTGAGGTGTTCCCGCACCCTGATGGAGGCTAACGTAATTTTAGTCCCTATTTCTGGAGCACCATTCAGCACCATTGGGAAGCAAATGCAACCAGGAAAAGGAAGCACGCTTCACATCTGGCTAATTGGATGCATCACGTACTCCAACAATCATGAGGGGGGGGGGAAGCTGCCTTCATTTCCTGCTTGAGGGTTTCTCAAATACATTCTGTGGACTACTGTAGGAGAAGCAGAATACCAGACTGGGATACGATTGATTAAGAAGCTTTGGTGCATCTCAGGCTTATGCCAAAAGCAGCCCATGAAATCAAATCCCCATGTAGTGTCAGATATTTCCCACTACAGTTCTGACCACACTTCCCATATCGATTCTACCATGCAATTATTATAAACACATGCTTTATATTTTCACTACATCAAGTGACAAAAGTCTGATGCTCAGTCCTTCCCCTGGTACCATATTCACTTTTTTGTTTTTACTTTCCAAGCCTGACAGAATTGATTCACAAAATCACTGGAAAGTCAATCCCCAAGGAGTGTCATCTTTTGGAATTGTCAATGATCTGTGAAAATGAAGAACTTGATGAATATTTACCACCTGTCCATATCATGCTTCAACCAACAAGTTGTCAAAAATAAGTAACTTTGTGTAACAGATCAGAAAGGAAGCAATCTCGCTAAATCAGACAGAAGCACTGAAAGTGACTGCTCTAAACTCAAATTAATGCAAGAACGTGCTTTGATGAACGGATGAAGGTGATGTGTCCTCTCCAATGCATCAACTTAAATATGCCTGCAGAAGTCATCATATCCTTGATAATTTATTGGAAATGAATATGAAGTGCCATCTACCAAGCTTCTTTTGTTGTACCCTGTCTTGTTATGGTCCTATATCAGTTGGGTGTGTGACAACATTACATTAAACTGTTTTGCTTTGCCAGAAAGTTTATTGAACTGCCACCTTCCTTCAGTGTTGGTCTGTGATTTGTAGGCAGCGCTGCAAATGTGGGTGGGGATTAGGCTAATTGTAGTCCAACACAGCTGGAAGGCCTGAGCAGGCTAGGAACATCTGCCTTAAAGGATGGGATATTTTCATTATCTTGGCAATGAGAGACCTAATCTTCAGTGTTCAACTAGTATTAGATGAGACAGCTTGAAGGACACACTAGGAGAGGTTTTGGAAAGCCAGTCCCAATTAGAGCAGACAGCGTTGGGCTGCATGTAGCAATAATCAACCAGCAAGCTTTCAGCTGTCCCTGTGTTTTGAATCAGTGCAATGGGAAGAGAGGCCTTGGAGTACTGTGAAATATTTAGGAGGCGCCATTTAGTGCTGTAGTTGAGGGCAAAATCTGAGCTTAAATGCCTTGATTGTTGATTGGGCAGCATGGCACAAACCATTATCTTTTCCCTTACAGTAAAATGTGATTATCATGGGGATGAATGAGACTTTGTAAATCATTCATTATGCATGCCCGAAAGGAAGATCAGAAGCTGCCTCATGCAAGGGTTTCATCTAGCTCGCTACTGTCTCTGTACTTAAAAGTTACGGAGTTCTTTCAAGCCCTGCGTATTGATACCAAGGATAAAATGGGCATCTTGCATTTAAAATATGTGCTCTCCCTTGTTACACATTGTTACCAATGGAATTGATAGTGCTCATTGCTCTTCAGGATAAACCACAGCCTTTCTGATTTTGGCCACCCGAACTTCATGAAGGAGAGCTCTTTGCTTCCACTTTTGTAGATAGATCCAGAAGAAACTTATGTATTTGTAAGCAATTATTCCTAAACTGCTTTTGCTTATTGTCCACCCATTAGTCTTAGCTGTTCTGTCCACTTCTCTGTTAGCTGTTCAGATCCATCTTCGTTGTGTCAGCTCTATAGATACCGGTAGTCCTCAACTTACGACTGTAATGGAGTCTGCCCATTATAATCACAAGTCATGATGGTCGTAAAATAAGTTATCATGTGACCAACCTGATTATACAAGCTGTTTTTTGCAGCAGTTAAGTGCAGCCATTGTTCACTATGGGGTGTTTTTGCCAAAAACAAAAAACAAAAACAGAAGTAAATGTTGGTTTTCAACAAAAATGTAAATTGGGGTTACACAACTGCAGGTGGTGCAAATGATCATAAATGCAGGCCAGTTGCCGAGGTCTCAAAATGAATATGGGAGGGAGCAGCTGTTGTAACTTTGGAACCAAATTGCAAGTACCTTTTAGGGGACTCTTGTCATTCTGAATAGTCACTAAGTGAGCAGTCCTAAGTTGAGAACTAGCTTATTTGAAAAACCGCTACTCTGTAATTCCATCATCTTATTTTGTCACACCTACTGAAACATCCAGCTCTCTTTGAACTTGGTTTCTCACATTTGATTTTCCTTCTGATAAGAAAGATAGGAGTTTGCCTATAATGTTAAGAATTGTTAGAACAAACTTGGCTGACAAGTTCCGTGTTTGTGATTTGATTTTTTCAGAAAAAGTGTGAGAACTTCACTCCTGTGAAACTTCTCAGGCAGCATTAGTAATAACATCTGATGAAGATAACTGAGTGACTTTCCTTTCTTCACTTCTAATTAAAATGAAATGCTTTAGATTAGGTTCCTTTTGCACTTTATGGCAAATTGCCCTGTGACAAATTGCATCTTGTGTTTACAGTAAACTGCTAGCAACACATTAAAGTAATGAGACAGAGCTGATGATGAAATTATTCCTTGTCGTTTCTGTAATAGACCTACTCTGAATAAAACTGCCTTTGAATCCTAGGCTGGGCAGAGAATTCCTCTGCTCTACCAGCTTTTTTTTCCTGTTTCCCTCAAACTGATTAAGCCAGTTTCACTATAGTCACAGGATTGAAGACAATTGCAGGTGGATGTATTCACACAACATGCTAATACAGCCAGTTTTCTAATTACAAACAGGTTACATTTCAAGATGCTGTTTGTTTGTAAATTTTGTTTGTAAATGCAACCAGCTATGAAAACATGCATAGTACAGTTCTTAACTGTACGTAAGTGGCACTTATTTTTAATTCCAGACATATTGCAATTCATGGTTACTACAGAAAGAAAAAACTAAATACAAACTAAACACCGCAAGATCAGCGAACAAACAGGATGGGATAGCATCCAAAATGGCATACCTGAGCCTCCCTATGTGTGACCGTGCTGTGAAGCACATATATGTGGCATGTTGTAAACAAAGCCTATCTGCCTTCTCTCGCCTGAGATCTTCTAGTTGGAGCTGAGAATAACTCTGTATCAAAGTTTGTAACTCAAAAATTCGTGAGTATAGGTAGTCCTTGACTTATGACCACAATTGAGCCCAAAATTTCTGTGGCTAAGCGAGATAGTTGTTAAGTGAGTTTTGCACCATTTTATGACCTTTCTTGCCCCGGTTGTTAAGTGAATCATTGCAGTTGTTAGTAACATGGTGGTTAAGTAAATCTGGCTTCCCCATTGACTTTGCTAGTCAGAAGGTCACAGAAGTTGATCTCGGGATCAACAGTCATAAATATGAGTCAGTTGCCAAATGGCTGAATTTTGATCACATGACTAGGGGGAATGCTGCAACAGTCATAATTGTGAAAAATGATCATAAGTCCTAAGTCAGTTTTCAGTGCCATTGTAATTTTGAATGGTCACTAAATGAACTGTTGTTAAGTCAAGGACTACCTGTACTGTATGTATTATTTTAACCTTGTTTGTTTTGCTTCTTTATTTACACCAAGTATTTTGGGTAAACCTAACACTCCTAATTAGCTTAAGAGTCACTGTATCAGGTGAACCCAGAAAGTGAAGGAGAAAATCAAGTCAAGAATACTGCACATAATGTATTTTACTGCAACTCTCATATTCTCCTAACAAATATGGCTGTGCTATCCAGGAGTTACAAAAGCTACTTGCCAATGTAGCTGAAGAGTAGAAGGCTTGGACTAGGCAATGTAATTCACCATTTAAAACCCTCCTTGGGGATTTCTCTTGTGAACCAGTTTACTTTCTATCCCACGAAACCCTCTCTTGTCTGCCTGGATAGGAATAACGCCATGCACCAAACCCAATGGCATTCTAGCTGCCGTGAAACCAGATTTATCAGAATTGCTATACTTCTACTTTTTTTTTTAAACATAACATTTGAGAAAAAGATCAAGGATGTACAATTTAGCCGAGTAGGATTTAAATGGCATGCCAGACATTTTGCTAGAAAGTGGTAGGTGAGACCAAAACAACAACCACAATTCATTTAATTTCCTACTAACTGAATTGAAATATAGTTAGCCATCTATCAGACACATTCTCCTCCTAGCGTATTAATAATTATCATTTTAGAAACAGCTGTTGGTTATCTTTGGAGCCATGCACAAAGTGTTAAGGAACCACAAGAGACCTGGGGCTATCAAGTTGTGCATCTTTGATGCAAATGGTTTCAAGCTGTCCAAGATGCTGTTTCAAATACCATATAAGCTTGTTTCCCTTTTCTCTCTTACTTTAATTCCATGAAAGGCATTAAAGCACTTCAGTTCTCCTTGTTAATGGTATTTGAGTAACTGCTATAGAAGTGTCCGTGTTGAATTTTATGTTCCTTTAAAGCCTCACTACTCAACTTACTGGGTTTTTTTTAACTTATATTTTTACATATTTACCAAAATATATATTGTATTGGCTGTGTATAAAAATGCTATATGCAGATAATGCTACCCAACATCTAGTTGTAGCTGCTGAGGAATGGCAAAATTGGGTCAGCTTTCAGGGTGCTGTTCATTGGTTCATTGATATGGCAAATTTAAGTATAGATCTTGATTTTGTTCTCCGCAGTAGCTTTTGCATCATATTAAAAAGAGTGTATTTATCAACAGAGTAATTCAAGATTGTTGGAGAGTCTTGAAATTGCACTTTCCTTCTTAGCTTGCAATGAACTACTGTCTACTGCTAAATGAACAGAAATCCTTCTGTTCAATGCTGGCTATAGACGTCACTCTTCAAAGACCCTCGTTATGAACCCTCCTCCCTTTCCATTTCACTTTTAATACCAGATCCTAGAATAGGACCTCATTTGCCATTAATTAGTTTCTTACTGAAAATCATGGTGTTGAATTGATGGCACAAATACTGACATAGTGGCTGAAGAGGGGTTTTTTTTGGGGGGGGGGAGGAAGAGATTTGCCTCTTTAATTCTGACCAGAAAGAATCCCAAAGACGGCCAATTTATTACATAAAGCAGACCCTGGAAAAGGCTTTTGCCTCAAGTGCCAAACTAGACAAAATGTCAGGAACATGTTCTGATGTTAAAAACATGGTTCTTCCTCAATCATGTAGTAGACCAGTGTTTTTGAAATGGTAACTTTTATGTTGTGTGGACTTCAGCTTCCAGAATTTTGAAAGGCGAAGTTCACACATCCTAAACATGCTATGTTTGAACAACATGATCTAGATAGAACAAGAGACAGAAGGAAGAGAATGGCTTGGAGCATCTCTTGACTGCAAGAGGAATGCTTGAGTGTCTGTGGTTGTACTGGAACTGAGGTTGTAATGTGTTCCACTGGGCCAAAGGCTGGGAAAAGCTGGCTTGGGTAAGCATCACGAGAAGGGAAGAAGACGGTGACTTTGGGAGAGTTCTATAATTCTTGATTTAAACATGCCTTTCATTGTCATAACTTAAATCTCCACCTCATGTTTTTATCTACAGCCCATATTTAAATACAAAGACCTATTTCTGTTATATCTAGTTTAGCCAGCATGCTATGGCATACCAGTAATTGATACTGGGTCAAGATATTTGAAATTGTGATTTATTCTGGAACTGTGCTACTGATCTGAAAGTGGGGGAGAGACCACTGCTGAAGAATAGTATACAGTGTAGCTTGTATAATCAAGGTTCTTGGTTGAATGCTCAGCAATTGTCCTTTCTGGGATGCTAGTGGCAAGATGGGGGCAAATCAAATTACAGCTTGCCTGATTTATCTTAATTTATGACATAGTTGGCTCTCACTTTGCCCTAATCCATAGTTTGTTTAGCCATGATTTATTGAATAAACTCTTGCTGAGTTTATAAAAACACCTTCTCAGCAGAATTAGCTGGAGCTATCACATTGGAGGATGCTTATGTGTTTTCCCCCTGGGTATTGTGGGATCGGTTAGCAGTGAAGGTCTGGCACTCCCCTTGGTCAAGGAAAGATGATGTAAGGGTTGGAGCCTAAAAAGGCTCTTGATGTGCCAGACAGACGGCATCTCTTCAAACTGTGTAGCTTATGCAAAAGATAAAGGCCAAACAGAACACCTGGGAAATTAAGCTGATCAAGTCTGCTGTTTTTAAAGGTGCTATTTTTAACAGGGTGGTGATTAACTATTGAGAAAGGCCTCACAAAAGCATGAAGTTGGTTTTCCTTTTGCATAGTAACTTTCATGAGCAGTCTGTAGTAATATATATAGAGAGAAAATACCCAACAGCCTGTATGCTGCTGCTATTATAAATAAAAGGAGAAAGATCCCCTTGGCTTTTCTTACATTGAAGGCAGATTTTTTTTGTAATCCTTTAGATCTACTGATTAGAGGCAGAAGGCGTGTGTTAACTAGAAGAAGGCTTGCTTTTTTTTTGCTCTTTTGCTGGCTTATGATGCAACTTCCAGAACAAAATTAGCAGGATGATGGCTCATAAACCAATTGTTTTAGGGCTCATTCGCATAACTGTGCTAAGAGCAACAATGCTTGTGATAAAGAAGGGGATTTGTCACTTATCCCTTAGTAGCATGTTGGTGAAAGACCATAGTTCAAAAGGTGTGTGTTTGGAATCAGCCAGACAGGCCACAGGGTTTACCACATTACTGGCAGCATCGCAACCGCATGTGGCTTCCGTTTCATGAGGGAAGTATCCCCTCTTATAATGGAAGGGCATTATAATATCATTTCCCTGTGTTGGTAGTATATTTTGCGTGCTGTCATTGGTTCTGTGATACATCTTGTTCCTTCCAAACTGAGAAAGAACTCTAAAAATGTAATAATATTTGAGTAAACCCCCATTTTGAAGCACTCTTCCATGTATTTTGAATTTATATTTTTCATAATGAACATCATTGGATTTATTATATTTGTTATAATACAATCGATGTGTTAGATCAGTATGAAAGGAGAGAGTCGGGGTTGAAATCCAAAGATGGCTTAATAGCTTGGAATTTTCCATAAAGGCTGATGTAGTCAAGCATTTTTTTTCATGAAGTGCAACATTTGCATAAGATCAAGGTGGGCAATACAATATAATTGTGTTGAACACCCCCTCCCCCATCAGCTTTCCCATAGTCAATGCTTATTATTATTATTGCATTTCAAATTTACTGTGCTTGAGCATTTTATATTCAGTCAGCATAACTGGATAAACACATACTACTAGGTCATGATTTGTCAAATAAGTCACAATTGAATGGGTTCAGTAAGCACTAGCCTGTACATTATTCCTCACAAACCAGTATCTGATTTGTCTCACGACGCTAAGCCAAAACAATAGTGGTTAGAGGTGATAGCTGTATCTAGAGGCATCAGATCATCAAGTCCTTGTTTTAAGAAAATGATGATCACAGCTGATCGTGACCTTCAGATGAACTAGTCTTTTCAAAAGATTAAATCAGATCTCAGGGCAGGATGTTGGATTCTGACGCCCATCAGCTCAAACATGACGTTTCAAATGATCCTGGATTATTGCATTTGTAATGCAAGAATAGGTTTATATTGCTTTTCACAATAAATATCTTCTGAAAGTTAATCACAAATTAATTTAAAATCCAGCTTCTAAAGGGCTGCTGTTCCTGTTCCTGTAGGTAGGTTGTTTGCAAAGGTAGTTAATGAAACTTCCACATGCTGAGGCAAAATATCTTTGTATAAGATCCAGGAAAGAAAGAATAACAAAATACTTTAACTCTCATGCCCTGTTTGTGTAAGTCTATGTGTAAACCAGCTGATCTTTCCTTTAAAAAAAGGAAACTGTGGACTGAACGAGCCTCAGCTTGAGCCAGTGAGGCAATTGCTATATTTTTGTGTTTCGTAGAATCCAGCCTGGGATGCTATAGGCATGCCCCAAGATGATGTAGCCATAAAAACATGAGAAGTTCATTATAAACATCAAACAGAAAGAATATCTGGACTACATGGTAACTCTAGAAAGCCATCCCAGCCCCTCCCTTCGGCCTACGTCATTCTATAGAAAACTACTGTTACTCCATTCCGGTAGAATATGGCGATTTTATCTGCAAAACTGAAAAGGTCATTTTTAGTTTTGTTTTTAATAACATCTGCTTTGCCAACATGTGTGCAGACAACCTAAAAAGCTGTAGGATTTTGCTGCAGGGTGCCTATTTATCAGGGAATAGGATTACTTTATGTTACTTGTTAGAGATCAACTAAAAAATGCTGCTCCCTCAACCCTATCTGTCTTCTGAGTGTGTGGGAAACTCCCACTAAGTACTGATCAAAACAATGGCACTGTAAAGTCATGTAAATTAAAGATACCAATTAAAGACATGTAACCTATCACTTCTGTAACTTGCTTGCCTGATTAATTTATGGAAGTCATTATCACAAGTTCTGGCTTTTCTCTTTTAGCTTATAATATTGACACCTTCCCTTTTTTCCCCCCAACAGCTCATTTTAGAATTGCTGAATTTTCTGTCCAGCCATTTTATTTTTGTTTTGCCTGTTTAGTACCCTTTTTTTTTTTTGCAAAGGGGGCGGGTTGGTTGAGGTTGTCAAGACATTCCATACCCAGTAAACAGCTAATATTGTTTTCTAGATTCTTCTTGTCTGACAGCTTGCTTCCTCCCTGCCCCCTTCCTCTTTGGTCTCTTAGCCAGACAGTGAGAAAAGCAAGTTTAGCAGATCATTTTTTAAGAGAACAGTTAGTAGCTTTTACCTGCCAATTGCCATTTGATAATCTGGTCCTGATCTTCAAGACTTTGATTTCCATGAGAAAAAGAGTACAGAGGCTGCTGCTTGTTCCTCCCGTTGCCCTGAACCTCCAGAATGGAACGGATTGATTTGATTATGTATTATCAACTCCTAGCTACTATTTTAGAATAGAATAGAGCTGGAAGGGATCTTGGAGGTCTTCTAGTCCAGCCCCCTGCTCAAGCAGGAGAACCTATACCATTTCAGACAAGTGACTGTCTATTCTCTACTACATGGAATAAGGGTAATTGTTGAAATTCATGGAGAAGAGATGAATTGATAACTTCCAGCCTTGTGCCCTAAATGGAAATGCAGGTTCTCACTGGCCACTTGAGTAGAGAGGCTAAGTGACTGGATGCAATTTCATTCATAATAGGGCTCCCATTTTTGGGCTGCAAAAATCCACACGACTCCTAGATGGCAATGAAGAGACACAGAAAACAATAGTGTCATGTTAGGATGCCCTAATACATATGATCCCTTTAATTTGCTAAGGAAATTGGAGGTTGATTTTGGTAATGGACTCTGGATTAGGTGCAATTTATCTGGTTCAATCAGTTAATGTTTGCAAATCTTTAAAAGCATATTTCTCTATATCGGTGTCAAACTGCCAGCCCACGGGCTGGATGCATCATGCCGAAACTGCGTCTACCCATTGCCAGCAATAGAGAAAAAGTCATGATACGTCGCGACACGTCATGTTGACGTTGCATGTTTGACACCCCTGTCCTATATGATTATCAAAACTGTATTTCCTTCCTGATTGTAAAAGCTGTACTTCAGATCATTTTTACAGGAGGATCCATACAAATCTAGATGCTTCCTATAATGCTTGTAATTTTGTGTCATATATGTTTATCAGACTCATTAGTGCTATTACTATAAGGGATAAATGTGAGGATAAATAAGCTGGGTCTTTTGGCTTTTATCTACTGTATCTAGAAATAGTAAAAACAAAAATCTTTAGTGGCCCTCATTGTTATTTTTTGCAGATATTTGAAGCTGCTGATGTGACAGATCATCACTGTTACTGTATTTTTACATCCATATTTGATTTTTTTAATCTTAAAGTGTACATGATGATAACGCTAAAACAAATGTATGTATTAGGTCCAGGTATTATTACTATTGCACAACACGGTCTTAATACCTAATTGAAATTACATATTTATTTGGGTAATATCCACATGATAATCAATGTGTTTTACTTCCAGGTAAACAGGTAATGTTGCATTAATTTATTACATTTACCCTTGAATGTTTGTTTGGATCCATTAATGCCACTTAATGGAACACCAGTTGCCACTCTGACCAAGGCTTAGTTTTCCTATGAATATTATTTTAGCCATGTATATTTGGCTATCAGAGCTGTTGAATTCTGCTCTACAGGTCCCAGCTGGACAGTACCCTTGCACATTACATGCCAGAATGCAACTCCTGCCATCATTTAGAATCCTTCTGAATTTCCCATGGTTGAAAAACTCATAATGTTTCTCCTCCTGGCCACTTCCTAAATTTGATACTGAGAATTGAGCATAACTTGTTCTAGGCAATCTAACTTTTTCCATTAAGAAGTTGTTATTGAGACAGAGTTAGTAAAAACACTAGTTTAGTCTTGCCTGTAAGATAAATAATCTTATTTCCACATTCTTTAGGGACAAAGCAACAATTCCCTCTAGGCAAGTCCTCAAGATTTTGACCATGTCTCTCATTTCAAATTTTGTACTCTCCAATAACAAAGCAGGCATATTAATGTTTATCACACTAACTCAGGTCTATGGTTTAATGATTAAAAGACCTAGTGGCACAGTGGTTAGAATGCAGTACTGCAGTACTGCAGTCTAACTCACTGCTCATTGCCAGGAGTTCGATCCTGACTGGCTCAAGGTTGACTCAGCCTTCCGTCCTTCCAAGGTCAGTAAAATGAGGACTCAGATTATTGAGGGCAATATGCTGATTCTGGAAACTGCTTAGAGAGGGCTGTAAAGCACTGTGAAGTGGTATATAAAACTAAATGCTATTGCTATTGCTAGCAAGGCCAACTCAGCTCAAGGGATCAGAAAGGGATATAGCTTCAATTCCTGAGATGAAACTTTGGATTCAAAATTAGTTTTTCTTTGCCTCTTATTTTGACTCTTCTTATAGCTGCATTATGGAGGGAAATTAATTTGGGGATGAATCAACTGGGCCACAATTATACGATCACTGGGGTCAAGCAGTCGGACTTAAAGACACCATACAGCTATGACATAGAAAAAGCATTTATTTATAAACAAGCATAAAAAAAAAGCCAAGCTAGATGTAGCCAATCACATCGTTGCAAATGATGGGCTGCCGACTTCGGCAGTTCATTAGGGCAGCAAAGCTGCTACAGTCTGTAGAAAGCTCGCTGATGTTGGCGTGGGACTGGTGGAAGTACGGTAACGAAGGGCGCACACCAAGACCAGCAGGGCAAGAGAAACGCTTGGTGCTGTCCCGGTCCTGCTTGGTGCGCTCCGTGCGGGAGATGCCAGCCAGCCTCCGGCGAACATTGCCTGAGAGGTTAAGCAAGAAGCCGTGGGGCTTGGCCAGCCAACGCTGCAGCCACCCCCGTTCCCTGCTTTCTTCAGGCAAGTCCATCCAGTTCTCCACTAAGTCAGCAAAGCAGTTGTCCCCCAGCACAAGGGGTTGCCGGTTACGACTCTGGGACAAGAGGGACACAGTCCAGTCCCCTGCCTCTGAGGGCTCGCCATCCCGCCACCGCTCCAGGCAGGCATCTGAAGCCGATTTTGGCCGGGGCCTCCTGGCCGGCACCCGACGGCGCAGGAAGCCCCCCGAGGAAAGCTTACTGGCTCTCAGGGGAGGAGGGCCTTCCTCGTCCCGCCAACTGTTCCCAGATACTTCTGAATAGCCCGAATCGAACTCCAGACTTCGTTCACTGCTGGGTGGGGAGAAAGCAACCTCCTCTTCCACAGCCCCCTCCAAGCAACAGGCAGAATCTGCTTCTGAGATGGCTGATATCCGTGGGCTGATACAGGACTTTGAGGAAGGCAGAGCAGAAGGTAGCCGTATCTCCTGGGGTTCCAGTCGCAGCTCTCGGTCATGAGCCCTCTTGAGATCGTGGAGGGTCCGCATCATGCACTGCATCTGGCCTCGCAGCACCTCGCTCGACTCCTTCATGCACAGCTGCGGGAGGAAAAGCAAAAAAGATTTTTTTTTTTAAATAATCCACTCAAGAAAAGTGCTCCATTCAAGTCCCTGGTGAGAGCCATGACAACTGAAGACAGCTAGCCCACAAACCCCACATTACATCTAGGCTGAAATCCTCAAACCAGCTTAGTCTACTGTGTATATCGTGAGCTTAGTGGCACAAACATCCATAAAGAGCCACATGTGGGTCATGAATCCAGACAAAAAGACAAAGATCAATGTCTCCATAGATCTGAGCTGGTGACCTCACACGACCCAGGCCCCCTTAGGCAAAAGCATTTGCTTGACATAAGCCCTTTGATGATGGTCTCTGACACTGCTCCTTTCCTGCTGCTCAGCATTTAAAAAGCACCACTCGCACTCTTATCGCTCGGCTTACCTGGTCCACATATTCTAGTGCCTAAGGAGTCCCACACATCAGGGATTTCCAGGACCGACTACATGCTAAGAATCTCCTTCCAGCTCTAGAGCCGAGACACCTTGTTAGGCGAGGGGCACCAATCTGCCTCAGCTCAGGGGTGGAGTTGGGAGCCAGAGCCGCACGCGCAAGCCCTTGCCCCGTCTCGTCTTGGCAGGTCCCCAGCCCCGAGGCAGAGCTTTTCAGCAACATCTGCACGTTCCAAGCCCATCCCCGGCCATACAAGCAGCAGCTTGTTGCAGTGGGTGAGTTGCCCCACCCGGCAGAAGATGACACAAAGGGTGTGTGAGAGCCTGCAGGAATTATATAAAGCAGCCATTTGGGGAGGAAAAGGCAGGCGATAAGGCCATTGGCGGCAGAGGGGAAGACTGGACCAGCGGAGGTGTTAGTAAAGGTGAAGTTCATCTGGGAGTTAATGAGCTTTAGAAATCCCAGAGCAAGAGAGAGAGAGGTCTCTCCAATTTTTCTCCTGCACAGGAGAAAAGACGACATGTTTGCATAGGCCAAAATAAGGTCAACTGGCCTTTCTTGTGAGAAATCTGTAGGTCCAGAGTGACCAGATGAAGTGGCCAGGAGGAGCACATCCCTTCTAAGTGCTCAAAAAAGATAGGCCAAAGGAAAGAAGGGACACAAGGGGAAGGAGAGAGATAAAAGCTAGGCTGGGTAGTTTCTTCATAGTGAATAGGACACATTTGAGGGTCTTCTCTGGTCTGGCAGGGAAAATGGTTTGTCATAAGCCCATAAACTTCCTTTGCCTATTTCTCAGTCCTAGAGTGACAAAGGGAGAGTTGAGGGCTCAAATGCAAAGACTGCAGAATCCTAGTATCTTGTCCCCCCCCCTCTCCTTTCTACAGAGCCACTTCCTGTTGCTTTCTGAAAGTCTTTGCCGTGCAGATCAAACATATACTACAGGCCACTGCTCCTCCAGGCATAATTTGGACAGTGACAAGAAATGATTCATTTTAGCTGTTCTGGTGACACAGCATACAATAATCCTCAGTGCCTGGCTCAAAACCAAGAACAAATGTGTCTTGGTGTGATAGTTCAACCCCAACTCCATGGCTATGAACATAATATTTTTTTTTTTATAAAGTAGTTCATATATTGTTTTGTTTTGTTGCATACTCCATAGATAGGTTTCACTTCAAGCAACAGCATCAGTAAAAGACTTTTACACCACAGAACTGAGTCAGCAATTGGTGGGATTTTAAGAGAAAAACATCCTCTCTTCCAATCTAGCATTGAAGAGATTAAGAAACAAGGCAACTTCCGTACGATTCCAGCTGAGCAGCAGCTGGAAAGAAAAAGGAATTCTCCTGCTCTGACTAGCATCTCCTGTGGAATATGACTCTATATCCTGTCCCAAGCGTTGTAATAATGCAGCTCCCCTGAGACCATCTCAAAGGGATTGCCAAAAAGCTTATGAAATATAGTACAGGTAATCATACAAACTCTATTCAATTCAATTGAATCGTGCAATAATTAAAGTGTTAAGTTTTGTCCTGATGTGCAGCCCCCCCCCCCAAAAAAACACCAAATGCAGCCCTGAGCTCAAAAATCAAGACTGAAACAAACCCAAGCTTGGGTGGTGCCCAAGACCATTTCAACGCTAGTGGGAAAGGTGGTTTCTCAGCTGACAACAGGAGCAAAAGTCCAGAGTTTCTGGGTCCCAGATGCCCTGAAAAGGCTGCCATGCTCTGATCCATCCCATACTGCCTTGATAAGCTTGGGAAAGAGAGAATAAAAGATGGAAACAAATAAGGTATCCTCCTGAGCAGTTATGACTGGGAAGCCCTGAAGCCATGTGTGCACACTTAGTACAGAGAACTTCCCACACAAAGACAAATATATATATGAAGATGACGAATGTGACTTCGTCGAAACGTTGCCAAGACACTTCCAATTTTACGCGGGAGAAAACCCGAACAACCAAAGACATATATATATATATATATATATATATATATATATATATATATATATATATAAAATTACGTGTTGTGCCCCAGGCTTAAAACAGCCACATGGGGCACAACCAGCTGCAAAATGATTGGCTGCCCTTGATCTGATAATTTCATAATTAGATTATCACTAAATAAATCACAGATGTAAAACTGGTCTCAAAACTGAGGTTTTTTGTTTGTTTGTTTTTTAAAAAAAAGTTACCTAAAAACATGTCTTTCCTTTGGGCAGCAACTCCCAGAAACAGGATTTCCAAACTCAGACTTAGATGTTTCAACGTCTACCCTGATTTATTAATTCATAGTATGTATGTGGCATTTTCCCAAAACCTCAAGCCAGCTTGTTACAAAGAAACAGAACAGCACTAGAATGGTGTCAACTAAAACCAAATTAAGCTCTAAAAAACAGCCACAAAGCCAACTACCCCAACCTCAGAGATGGCCAGAGGGCCAAATCCAGTTGTTGGTAGGATTGTCTACCCTCATGGCTGTAGTGATGGAGAGAGGGGCCTGCTAGTCTAGGCTTTTCTGGCATCTGGGCTCCTGAGTGGTAAATTCTTAAAGAGTAAAAAGGGCGACCCCTTGGGACAGCCTACCATGCACACCTTGATTAGAGTAGACGTCCACGTTTATCCTCCAGATCTCTTGAGACTACAACTGTCAGAAATCTCAGCCAGCATTGCCTTTTTCTTTCCCCAACATGAGAGCCAGTTTGTTGAGGTGGTTACCATGCTTAAACCAAGAGGTTCCGAGTTCTAGTCCTCCCTTAAGCATGTAAGTAAGCTGGATGAGTTTGGGACAGTCACACTCTTCTAGTTCAACCCTTCTCAAAAGGTTGTTGTTTTGGGGAAAATAGGAGGGATGAGCATTAGGTATTTATGCCACATTAAGTTGACCAAAATAAAATGGGCAAAACTCTAATAAATAAATAAATAAATGATTGGAAAATACAAGGTTGGAGAAATACTCATTCCTCAGAGCAAGAAAATTAAAAAAAAAAACTATTTACAAGACTAAACAACACATAGGAAAAAAAAAAACCTTTCATCAAACTCAGAGCCTTCCTGAATTATACCACATTGGCTTGGAATTATAGTAGATATATCCCAACATGTCTGAAACCACCAAGGTAGGAAGATTGCCTATGAAATGATTATTGGACTGGTGCAAGTGGAGAGATTATAGGGCTGTACTTAGAGATCAGTGTTATCACACAAGCCTGTTTTCAAAAGAAAAATAATGCTGCTGCTTATTTCTCAAAATGGTTCTGGCAGCTGCTCAGCCCCTTACAGGGACCCCATTTGTGGTGACAGTAAAGAATGACAAGAATTTTGCATCGCATATAAATACAAAGCAGAGATTGCACTAAAAGTTATGGAGTTTTCATCATCCATTACATCTCTCTTGTTTTATTTATCCAAAGAGCTTCTTCCACCATATCACTTCCTATAGCCAAACTTCTCAAATCAAACATGATTTTTTTCTTTTACATTTTTATAGCCACTACAAAAAATGCCAAGTAAATACGATCTTCCATGGGTGCCACTAACTTTGAACAACCTGGGAGCTATCAGACCAATAGGATGTGAAGCTGCATCATCTTCTTCTTCATCTTAGATGATACCAGAATATCCAGCTTCCTGCATTAGGCCTGTCACAGCCCTCCATGGAGGCACTGCCAGTCTCTCCACTCCTTAGGACTGTCCATTCCAACTACTAATGATGCTGGTGAGGAATTCTGCAGACTGTACTTGAAGCCATTCAAAGGACACCAGGTCAAGAAGGGTGTGCTAAGAGGATGAACTGAAAGTGGAGCAAGACTTGTGTCTTTTAATTTTCTCACTAAATGATAGGTTTCCCAAAGGATGCTCAAGGCAAGTTGAATATGAATAGCATAGTATCCAGGCCCGGTATCAGCACCTGGCATCTTACAGAACTGCTGGCGTCCCAAGAAACCAACCTATGCCAGTTCCCAATCTGGGCATACCAGGCCTGAGGTTATGACTTCCGATCATCTTAATTTCCCAGTTCTTACAATGCCTCAGAAGAGCACTAGCCAGTGGCACTGTGAGAAATGTAGTGTGGTATCGCAAAGATAGTAGCTGTGGTCCACAAAGAGAGCAATTGACCAAATAGTACAGTATTTAATCCAGGAAGACACTGGTCGGCTCAAATCTACAGATTCCTGGGGGTTCTGTAATGCTATTCTAGGCAAACACAAGACCTATCGGATTCTATGCTGGCCATTTCTTACACAAATACTGAGAAATCAGGGCAGTTAGAGCCAATCCTATAATGTCACTTTTTTTTCAGATAGACATCCCAAGATCATAACCACCTTTGGTTTATAGCCTGCAGTGTCTCTACAGAACACTAGAGGGCAAAATCTATGTGATGATGGTCATTTCTTCATTGTACTCAGCTGGAGATGGGACAGATGAAACATTCTGCTCTCAGAATGTCCAATATGGGACATCTGTTTGTCACAGCAGCAGAGGCTACTATGAAGCAGGGCAAGGCTACCAAAATAAGACAGACCTAAAAGCAAGCTTTCTCCATGTTCATTAGGAGGAAGAGCTCCTCAGTTACGTGGAAATTGACAAGGTAGCAACTGATATCTAACCAAGATTTAATTACTGATTGGGAGGATTCAATTTCCTAGCTTCATTTTATCGTGGAAAGTTGGAACACATTACAGACCCTGATTGGATGGGGACAAATTGCCTGCTCCTCACTCAGCGACCCTCCGCTTAGTAACACCTTTCAAAGCCGGCACTGGAACAACCCAGGATCAAGAGGAACCTTCGGGACCAGCCAGTGGGGAATTTTCTCTCCATTCAGCCCCATATCTTTTCTCCCCTGAGTAACAGCGGACCCATCCAGCAACTCTCTCTGCGCTCTGACTCTCCTTCATCCTTGCTGGATCGCCACCGCTCCCCAATCCCAGCTTCTCTTTTGGGGGTCAAGGCCCGTCGGAGACGGGAGAAGCAACACATTCAGGCATCGTCGGAAGGCCTTTTGTTCCCACTAGGCTGCCCGATTGGGTGCCTAGTTCTTCAGAAGTAAGTAGGAAGGGCCACTCGCCCCTTGGGGAGTCCGCATAGGGTTGCAACCGGTGCCTCTTGTCTCCTCCGCAGCCCGGCCAGCTCTCCCAGCCGGGCCACTCCAAAGGCACCAGTGACATCGGCGCGCTCCTACCAGCGAGCAAACCCCTAACCCGCCTCAAGACAAGCGAGCGAGAGGGCTGACAGCTCCCGAGCTAGTCTGGGCGGAACACGCGCCGCTTCACTCACTTCGGCGCCGAAGCCGCAAGCCTCGTCTTGCTGCCTGGGCAGCCTTCAGCAGACAGCCGTTCCCAGCGAAGGGAAGTCACAAGACAGGCGGCTCACGCCAGCGCTGCTTCGTCTGAACTGCTCGAGTCCCTGTTGCTGCCCCGGCATAGACCGTCTTTTAGGAAGGCCCGGCCCGACCCGCGCGCTCTCTCTTGGTCAGACACTAAAGGTTCGGTGTGTGAAGGACGCCCTACCTTGACCCCATATTCAGTAATTCTCATGCACGCGCCTCCGGGAACCCCGCTACTGCCTGGAGGATCCCCACCACCGCACCCCCCCGATTTTCCCTCTTCCCTCGGCCAATTTACCACTTCTGCGCGGAGGTGGCTCACGAAGGCGTCGAGACGCGCGCTGTGCATGCCCGAGCTGGGGCGCTCAGCTGGCAGCAGAAGGGAACCGGCCGCGCAGTCCGGCGAGGAAAGAGGCTGAGGCTCAGAGACCTCGGAGACAGGAGGCGCTGGAAACTTTCTCCCTAGTTCAGTCCCAAAGCAGCGAAGCGCACCCTTTGGTTTAGACCGAACCCCTCCCTCTACGACACAGCAGCCAATGGGCGCCCGAGGTCTGGTCCCCTTTGCTCGACCGAGAGCCAATGAGCGGGCCAAACGGCTGCTGAAACCTGAGCTTCGCGGACCGGTTGTAATTTAATTAGAACCCATATTAGGAGCCAAAAGGTCTCGCAGATGGAAAGAAGGGCCGATGCGGCAAACGGTCCGCTAGGAGGTGGGGACCCCCTCGGGCACAGCGGTTATGGGGAAGGCGGGGAGCGCTCATACGACTCCGGCGAGAAGCGCCCTGATGGCCAAATCCTGCCCTAGAGACAAGGCAGCCCCGGGGCGCGAAACCTCTAATTGACGTCTTTTTCCTCGTGTGTTTATTAATCGCAACGCAGCGTTGGGTGCTCTGCTGCTTATTGACCAGCCATCCGCTCGTCCTGCCAGTTGCGACTGTTGAAAGAGGCAGGGCGCTTTTCCCACTCAGAGAAATAAAGGGGAAATTTCACATTCCACTAGAAACTCTCTTTATAATACATACTCACTCTTAACCATACCTCATTCTTCCTACTGATACATACAGGTAGTCCTCGACTTACAACAGTTCATTTAATGACCATTCAAAGTTACAACGCACTGAAAGAAGTGACTTATGACCGTTTTTCACACTTGTGGCGGTTGCAGCATCCCCTGTGGTCACATGATCAGAATTCAGATTCTTGGCAGTTGACTAAAT